AGTCATATATGCAGATGAGACCAAGTAAGGATGGCTAATTTCCTTTCCTAAAGGCCATTAGTGAAGCAGATGGGGCTTTTGGAACAAAAACAGGGAGAGGTGATTGCCTGATGATATTATCACTAAACTATTAATCCAGAGACCTAGTTAATGGTCTGAGAACTCTGGTTCTAATCCTGCTGTGGCAGATTGGTAGAGTTTGAATTCAATTAAAAATTCTGGAATTCAGAGTTTATTAATGACCATAAAGCCACTGTTGATTGTCCCAAAACTCATCTGGTTCAATAACCCCTTTAGGGAAGGAAATCTGCCATCCTTACCTGGTTTGGTAAATGGGACTCCAGACCCACAACAACATGGGTGATGCTTAACTGCCCGCTGGACAATTAGGGATAGGTAATACATCGCTGGACAGCACCCTACCCACATCCTGTGAATGAATAACAAAAAACAGTTTCACTGAGTTTCAATTCCAGATTTTGTCGATTGACATGTGGAACATCTAGTCAAGAGGAAGAAGGAAGTTTACTTCAGGTCAAGGAAGCAAGGATCAGACAGGGCTCTAGAGGGTTACATGGTAGCCAGGAAGGAACTGAAGAATGAACTTAGGAAAGCTAGGAGGTACGAAAAATGCTTGGCAAGTAGGATTAAGGAAAACCCCAAGGCGTTGTATACTTATGTGAGGAACATGAGGATGGCCAGAGGGAGGGTGGGGCTGATCAGGGACAGTGGAGGGAATTTGTGAGTGGAGTCGGAGGTGGTAGGGGAGGTCCTTAATGAATACTTTGCTTCAGTATTCACCAGTGAGGGACCTTGACGTTTGTGAGGACAGCGAGAAACAGGCTGATATGCTTGAACAGGTTGATGTTAGGAAGGAGTATGTGCTAGAAACTTTGAAAAGCACAAGGATAGATAAGTCCCCTGGGCCAGATGGGATATACCTAAGGTTTCTACAGGAAGCGAGGGAAGAGATTGCTGCACCTTTGGCAATGATCTTTGCATCCTCACTGTCCATTGGAGTAGTACCAGATGATTGGAGGGTGGCAAATGTTATTGCCTTGTTCAAGAAAGGGAATAGGGATAATCCTGGGAATTACAGACCAGTCAGTCTTACTTTTGTGTTGGGTAAATTATTCAAGAGGATTCTGAGAGATAGTATTTATGATTATTTGGAAAAGCACAGTTTGATTAGAAATAGTCAGCATGGCTTTGAGAGAGGCAGGTCATGCCTCACAAGTCTTATTGAATTCTTTGAGAATGTGGCAAAACACATTGATGAAGTGAGAGCAATGGATGTGATGTATATGGATCTTAACAAGGCATTTGATAAGGTTCCCCGTGGTAACCTCATTCACAAAGTAAGAAGGCATGGGATTCAGGGAAATTAGCTGTCCAATAGAAGACAGAGAGTGGTAGTAGATGGAAAATAGTCAGCCTGGAGCTCGGTGACCAGTGGTGTTCTGCAGGGATCTGTTCTGGGGCCTCTGCTCTTTGTGATCTTTATGACTTGGATGAGGAAGTGGAAGGGTGGATTAGTAAGTTTGCTGATGACATGAAGGTTGGTGGAGTTGTGGATAGTGTGGAGGGCTGTTGTAGATTGCAACAAGACACTGACAGGATGCAGAGCTGAGCAAAGAAGTGGCAGATGGAATTCAAACCGGATAAGTATGACGTCATTCATTTTGGAAGGTCGAATTTGAATGCAGAATACAGGGTTGATGGCAGGATTGTTGGAGTGTGGAGTAACAGAGAGATCTGGGGGTCCACGTCCATAGATCCCTCAAAGTTGCCACACAGGTTGATAGGGTTGTTAAGAAGGCATATGGTGTGTTTCATTGGCAGGGGAATTGAGTTTAAGAGCCGCGAGGTTATGCTGCAGCTCTATAAAACTCTGGTTAGACCACACTTGGAATATTGTGTTCGGTTCTGGTCACCTCATTATAGGAAAGATGTGGGGAAGCTTTAGAGAGGGTGCAGAGGAGATTTACCAGGATGCTGCCTGGACTGGAGGGCAAGTTTTATGGGGAAAGGTTGAGGGAGCTAGGGCTTTTCTTATGGGAGCAAAGAAGGATGAGAGGTGACTTGATAGAGGCTTACAATATGATGAGAGGCATAGATAGAGTGGATAGTCAGAGACTTTTTCCCAGGGCGGAAATGGCTATTAAGAGGGGACATTTAGGGGTGGCACGGTGGCTCAGTGGTTAGCACTGCTCCCTCACAACGCCAGGGACTCGGGTTCAATTCCTCCCTCAGGCGACTGTCTGTGTGGAGTTTGTACATTCTCCCCGTGTCTGCGTGGGTTTCCTCCGGGTGCTCCGGTTTCCTCCCACAGTCCAAAGATGTGCAGGCTAGGTGGATTGGCCATGCTAAATTATCTATAGTGTTCAAGGGATGCCTAGATTAAGGGGGTTAAAGGGGGATGGGTCTGGGTGGGATGCTAGGAGGGTTGGTGTGGACTTGTTGAGCCAAAGGGCCTGTTTCCACACTGTTGGTATTCTATGATAATTTTAAGGTGATTGGAGGAAGGTATAGGGGAGATATCAGAGGTAGGTTCTTTCCACAGAGTGGTGGGTGCATGGAATGCACTGCCAGCAGTGGTAGTGGAGTCAGATACATTAGGGACACTTAAGCGACTCTTGAATAGGCACATGGAAGATAGTAAAATGAAGGGTACGTAGGGTAGTTTGATCTTAGATTCGGATAATAGGTCGGCACAACATCGTGGGCCGAAGGGCCTGTACTGTGCTGTACTGTTCTATGCTTTAATTTAAATCCAGAGCATTAGCCCAAGCCTCTGGGTTATTAGCCCACTGACAGTGCCACTATATTGTTGAATGTTTTATTTCAAGTTGGAACTGAAGTTTCTTGGTTCTGGAACCTGATGTGAACCAGTTATTCCCTGCTGTACCACTGCCTCTGATATCTGCGCTCATCTTCTCAACCATTCCAAGTGGGAGGGGTTAGTGTGGCAATAAGGTCATCCAGAGACCAAGTTTTAATGCGTTTTTTTTACATTTTGCAGCAGAGATGCAAGTTGGAGGTTTAATTACAAGCAAACAACGTGGGAGAAGAAGCAAGGTTCAATGATGCGAGCTTTAACTCAAAGGCTGTATTCTGCATTGCTACGATCAACTAGCTAAAGAAACAGGGAGATATCCCAAGAAACAACAGCCCAGGACATTTGCTACCAAGCACACAATCATATAGTCTATGAACATTAAATAGAAAACAAGGACACAATACGTTTTGCTTCATTCTGGCATTTTTTTCCCTTTTTTGGAGAGTCAGTATTTAATGACTCATGCTTAAAACACCCTCACCTACAACTTGGGACACCGTGGGCTCAAGTCTCTTTTCGGGGGCTTGAGCACTGTGAATTAGCCTCATGCTCACAGTGCAATTCTGAGGGCGGCTACACTGTCACAGCTGGCATCTTTCACCTAGAAAGTTCCCTCAACTTCTACTGCAAGAGCAAAGGAGTGTTTTGCAAGGCGTGCTGACTGCTATTTATGCCTTAACCAATTTCACACAGAGACCATCTTACTGCTGTCTGTGAAACCTTGCTGTGCAAATCCCGATCAAACTGCAACAGCAGCCATGTTTCAAAAGTAATTGATTATCTCTTGACTGTTTTGGGATGTCACATGGTTGTGAAATGTGCTATAGAAATCTAAGTCTTGTTTTCTTTGAAAAAGGGACTGTTGGAAATCAAATGTGTTGCCGGTACAACACTAATATAGTCACCTGGAACCTTCAAGCCTGCAAGCTTTGAAAAGACATACAAAAATAAGGATCACAAAACAACCTGTGGCTTAAAAAACATGCAGTTTTGAATGTTAATCTGAATAAATCATGCTATAAATTTGTTGGCTCATAAGAGGGTACATTGATGATACTATGAAAGTCTCGTTGTTCCACTGAGATCATTACAGCTGTTCTTTAATGTGGTACAGATTTACAGTCTACAGGTCAAGATAGCATTCACTCAAAGATGAGACGAGTGGACTAAACCTCACAGTCAACATACAAATGGATTTACGAATTATGAGGTGGAGGCCACTCAGCCTCTCAAGTGTTCGATCATTAAACAAGATAATGGCCAATCAGATTATGCCACATCCCCTAACCCATGATAATATTTCACCCTCTTATTTATCAAGGATCTACCTACCTATATCATACAAATAGTCAGAGTCTGCTTTCACTGTCTTTTACGGAAGAGTGTTCCTGAGATTCACCCTTCTGAGAAACAAACGCTCCTCAAAACAGCAAGATGAACTGCATCTCATTTAGTCAGCCAGGTCCTTCAGAATGCTCTAGCATGGAAGGAGGGAGTACAATTGTTGATAAAATTTGACACTGACTGCCAGATGGATCAGCAGGCAACATGATCACTTCCAAAGAAAATGGTGGTCCAGGTGCATTCCAGGGATTCAAGTACATAATCTAGGACAATACTCCAGGGACAGCAGTGATGTAACTGAAGATTGTTTCCTAGGAAGTGGTGCAATTGGATGGTCAGTGTCGAGAGAACACTGCACAGCTGGAAGAGACGGCTGTTTCTCAAATGTGACATCAGATTGCAGTATCGTCTGCCCTCTCGGGAGGGCACAAAGATCCAATAAACATTATTTCACAAAAGCAGGGGACAACCCCACTGTCCGCGGCAGCAACTGCCACTCATGCAGCATCATTAGAAAGAGATTATCTCGCCATCAACACATTTGTTTGCAGGAGCTTGCTGTGCATAAATTGGTCATCATGTTTCCTACATTGGTTGTAAAGTGCTTTGAGTTCAACTCAGCTGGTGACAGGTGTTGTGGATTTACAGGCCTTTTACTCTCCATTTCTTAGCTAATCAGCTCCTGCTCCCACAGGGGTAAACAGTGGAGATTCCAGCTCACTTCACAATTTTTGAAGAGATAAAACCCATCTTCTGTTTGTCTTGGAACAGGTTCACTTTGTCAGTGCTGCATTTCTTTCAAGAATTACAAAAAAAGTATGCAACAGGTACATTTATTTTATTAAGTGGAGACAACATTTAAGATTACACTGTGCATTCAGAAGGACTGCACAAGAGAGAGAGACAGACAGTCTAAACAACTCGTATAAAAAATTAATATTTTTAAAGCCTGCTTTAGAGAGAGCAAATAGAATATCATTTCAGACAGTCAGTGACAAATCACGATAAACCCAGTTTGCAGACAGATCAGCCAGATAATGGGACCACTGGGTAATTTTTCTCTGACCATCTACCTCCATTCCATACACCCCAAAATACTAAATACCCAGAGGATCACTACCTGAACATGACAGATCTGCAAACCTGTACAAGTGCTTGATAGTTCTTGCTTGTGCTGCCTGGTGTTGATGCACAGGAGCCACTGGGAAGCAACGAAATATAAATCAGGAGGAAAATTCTGAGAATCTCTGGACCAACGGTAGGAGGGGAGAGAAATGGCAAATGTGTATTTTGTGCAGAATCCTTCAGTGTTGCCCACCTACAATCCCTCCTTCACCCATATGGTGCATACTGCCAAACTATCATTCCATGGATGCTCTGTGCAATGTATGGACAGAGCTTTTTGAAAGCTGGTTGTGATCAGGGAGGTCGACCAGCTGGAGGACCCAATGTATACACTTTTGTTTTTAAGAAGTCCATTTCCGTGGTGACCATGGGATCACAAGGGGTGGGTGCTGGGATTCTAGGAGTCACTGACGTTCGCTCCCCATGGAACCCGTCGCAAGGGCAGATTCACTTTGTAAATCTTGGTGGCTTTGACTTCAATGCACTGCATGACTCGCCTCACCTTTCAACCCAGTGCTCAGCATTGTCTGTATTCTCACACACACAACTCTAAAGTTTCTCTCCAGCCTCTCTTCAAAACAATCGGACTTATCTGGGACCAAGATTTCTCACAAGAGCACAATCTCTCGGTATTTCTCCAGCACTGACAGATCTGGTCAGATTCTTAACAGTTTTGTTTACTAATAAAAGGATTTAAAGTGTTTCCCAGACTGGAATCAGGCATCACAGAAAAAATTAAATAAATTTTGCTCTGAACCAATTAGGATTTCGTTACCAGCTCAGTGCCCTGTGGTGAGGGTGACTGAAATTAGCTGTGTCTTTAGAGTCCAATTTTCAACTTCATAAAACCTACAATAGCTTAAAACAGGCTGATCATAATAAACACGCAATCACTGATTAATAATGTCTACATATACATAATCTAGCACAGCGGTATACAGGAGCCAAGGGCTGTACAAGGCTAGATCCAAGACCTGAAAGGATACGTCTGTAACAACGCCAGGATTAACTTAGTGTTCTACAGACAGAAGCCCTGGGAGTGCTGGGCCCCTCCCGCAGGCAGGCAATACAGAGAAAAAGAGGAGAGAGAGAAAATAACCTGCAATCAGCAAGTCCCAGCATCTGAAGCTCGTTTAGAGGGGCCGACAGGAAATCAACAATTAATACATTTATTCCCTCAAACTCAAAGTAATAAATGAAGTAGCTAATTGGGATAACATTGGATAAACATAAGTGGTAGTGTGAGGGAGCCAAAGGATTTAATCCAGCTCCCAAGACAAAAGCTAGCACTTGTAACACTTTCATTCTGAACAGGGTTGTGTGGGAAGGGGACAGATACGGAGGTATGAGAAAAAAAGATTGCAGACCCCTGTAAGGGTCTCCCCCTAATTTCTTCTCCAAACTCTCCTCTTTGCTCTATTGCAACCTCCCCAATAAGAAGTCTCTACTGTGCTGTGTTTGTTACAAACACCTCACGCTGACATCAGGGGTTGAAATCACACTGTTCAATGTCAGCAGTGACAATGCCAGCCTGGTCTCTAGGAAACTGTTTAGGTATTTCCTTCCTAATGTCACTGGCAGTACAGTGGCAACTGAAAATGAAAGTAGAAGGAAGACAGAAAGAGAGAACCACATGATAAAACAGCCAGAAAGGAATTAGGGAAGTCAGGAATTAATAATGCCACTCCTCAGACATTCCCAAGTGATAGAGTTACTCACATTCCCTCTTTAAGACAGGTTACCAGGTCAAGTCTCCATTTTCATAATCCTTGTCTCCTGTATAGTCGTAACGCTCAACAGCTACAACCTAACTAGCTACAGGGATGCTCGAAAATGAAGCCATACAGTGGGAGTGTCAAATATCAGACCCAATGCCAGATTGGGGGCTGCAAGGCATCTGGGCTTTTAACAATTCAGACAAAGGTTCAAAAAGTGCTTTTGGGGTGGGGGTGGGGGTGGGGGTGGGGGGAGTGAGGAGAGATGGGGTGAGTGTCTGTGTGTATGTGTGTGTGCAGGAGTAAAGTCCACCACAGGTTGGGTGGGCTTGGTCCCTGACTCCACCCCACCCTGTTGACGGTGTCAGGTCTCAACCTGGAAGCAATTCTTTATAAAGTTACATGCACAAATCTGCTTTCTGCAAGAGTGAGAGGCGACATCGGCTGCCACTGTATGGCCTTATCGAAAGAGAAAACTGCTTCAAAAGCACCAACTGGAAAATTTACAACAGGCAAGGCTTGCAAAAGGACGTAAGAAATATAGTTCGATAGAAAGTTTCAGCTGCAATCCTAATACTCGAGTAACCGGCATGAGCATTCAAAACTAGGAGGCAGGAGTGAACAGTTAACTCACCCTCCTGCAACTACTGTACTCTACGTTGACTGGTGTGGAGTCTGACTTCGTTAATCACTCTTAAGGCAAATTGTTTTGTTAAAAAAAATAAAAGAGTAAGCCAGCAGTTTGTCCGGTTGTTCTCCGGGCATAACGGGTCTTCACAAACATCCAGTCCTGGGCGGGTTAGGTTCCTGCTCAGGGATCTCGCCAAACACCCTCCTTACGATACTCACATCTTCACATTCCTGGATGCTTTGCGTCTGCCAACATCCTGAAACAGAAATGGAAATAAACAAAATGAGTTTGAGTCACAGGGAAAAACAAACAATTAATGAGTAGATTTACCCAAGTTTAAATGCTGGCTGCAGGGTAATTACTAGCCCCAAAAAGGGTGGGGGGGGACCTCCCCACTGCTCAATGGCTGATACCACCAGTTCCTGGGGATGGTGCTACAGGAGGTTGCACTGTCTGACAGTGATGGTGTACAGTGAGCACAGATGGACTAAAAGGCAGCTGACTGGTCTCTTACTTCACACTGTTGCCTACACATACAGGGATGTTTCCATGGTGATAGTGCCCACCGTGGAAAGGCCTTTGGACACTCATAACATCACCAGCATCGAATCCCCCACTGTCAATATCCTGGGGGTTACCATTGACCAGGAACTGTGCTGAACTCATCATATGAGTGTAGCTGCAAGATCAGGTCAGAGTCTAGGAACTCATAGTAAACAGCTCACTAGTTCTCTCTCTTGAGCCTCTGCCTTTTAAATCATCCATTTACCTTTTTAGAACTTGATTTTGGAGATTTCTTGGGCGATTTCTTTGGGGTTTTCTTGGGGGTTTTCCTGGGAGTCGCCCTTTTGTTGATGCCTCTCAGCAGGGTGTTGCCTAACTTCCGAGGTGTGTTCAAGACGGTGTAAGATATCGATTTTCGTCTATCATTCTGGAAGGAGTGTGCAAGAAAAGACAAAAGAGAGTGAAACAAAGGGAAGCTGAAACAATGGAAAGTGGCCATGAAGGGATGAACAAAAACTCTCCATGTGACAACCACCAACGAGAAAGAACAAGGGAAGTCAGTTTTGGCAATGCAAAATCAGTAAGGTTTTAGTTTAGTGCACAGGTGAAGGAATTGATGCTACAAGATGACATACTATGAAGAGTACAACTGGATTTCACAGACACAGAATGGCTGAAGCACTATTCACCCAATTGTTGCTGTGTTGGCTTTCTGAAGGAGCAATGCAGTTCATGGCACTCCCTGCCTTCCCTGTTACCCTGCATTATTTTTTCAGATAATAATTAATTTCTCTCAAACCCCACGATTGTATTAGACTCTCCCAAACACTCAGGCAATGTATTGCAGATCCTCACCACTTGCAACAGAAAAATGTTTCTCCTGGTGTCTCCATTTGACAGCATATTCCAAACTCGTGACCACTTCCAGCTGGAAAGACGGGGTCAACAGATACATGGGAACATCACCCCCTACAATTTCTCCTCCGAACCACTCATCATTCTTACTTCTCTGAAGAAGGCTCTAGGCCGGAAATGTCAGCTTTCTTACTCCTCTGATACTGCTTGGCCTGCTGTGTTCATCCAGCTCTACACCTTGTCACCTCATTATCTAATGTACCTTAATGAGTTTGAATACCTCCATCAAATCTCACAAGCTTTTCTTTGCCAAGGATTACACAGCCCCAACTTCTCCAGTTTATTTATTTAACTGAAATGCACCAAACTCAAGTACCATATCCAAAAGAGGGAAGAGAATTCCAACAATACCCAACCATTATTCTGACCCATGGCATCGTGACCAGCAGCAATAAATTACACCTAAGAAAATCTGGATCATTCATGTCTTGTTAGTAACAAATTATAACAATGTGATCAACTTTCAGAGAAACGGATGGTGAACATTAACGGTCTTCAAATGCATATAAAGATAAATACAGTTCTGAGGAAGGGTCATCCGACCCTAAATGTTAACTGATTTTTTTCTTCACAGATGCTGCCAGATCTGCTGAGCTTACCCAGCAACTTGTTTTTGTTAAAGATAAATACAGTTAAGACACCAGACTGCTGGGATGAGAAATGCAAGGCTCAATCCAAACTCAATCCAAAAGGGAAGTTGTCTTGGCCTCTATCTCACCACTGACTTGAAGTCTATTAACACATTATCAGTAATACTTTTCAGTAATGTCTTTCAGGAAGGAAAGCTGCTGTATTTACCCAATATGGATCTAAACATGACTTCAGATCCACACCAACCTGGCTCATTCTGAACAGCCCTGCAAACCACTCAGCTGCTGTGGAGCTGACCTTTCTATGTCAGATCTGTCTGCTTTCAAATCAAGATTGACACAATGGCAAATTAGCTTCACTACATACTTCTCTCAATGTGACATAGTGAAGTGTGCAAATTAATGCACAATGGAAAACTCCACATCAAATCTGGAAGAACCATATTCTGAGACAGGAGGCAGTCACAATGCAGATCCGAGCACCATAAAAGGGAATATGGGAAATACAGATGGAAAAATCTTACAATCATGCTGTGTCTAAATCCTTATTTCAACAAAATATATAAAGTTTGCAGAATATACAAACACCTTGAATAGGCCTGCAGTCCTGTGGCACCTTTCACAACCTCAGACACCCTAAAACTTGACAGCCAATGATGTATTTTTAAAGTGCAGTGTGGGCATATCTGATTTTATGATTCGTATATTTTAGGCCTACAACTTTTTGATTAGGAATTGACATTTTTAAATATAAAATGAATGAAAATACCTGGTTTGAGAAGCTGGTCATCAAAACTACAGTGATTGAAAATCAAAGGGCAGCCTTTGTAACAAAAGGCCTGTTTCCATGCTGTATAACTATGACTGTGTTTATTTAACAAGGTCAGAGTCGGAAAGGGAAACTTAAAGAATAAGCTACTTGTCTCAGCTTCTTGTGGAGATAAGATGTCTACAGCTGTCTTACTAAGGGATTCAAATCATTCACATGGTTTCTCAGAGCAAAGGCAAAACTCGGGAATTAGGATTTAGGAAGACCAGTTGATCATTTAGCCCCTTAAACCTGCTCTGCCATTGAATAAATCCATGGTTAATCTGGTTGTCGTCATCTCAACTGTACGTTCTCTCTGTCCTTCACAACCCTGGATTCCCTTGTTCATTAAAACTGTAACTGAACTATGAATAAACTCAATGAGTCAACCTCCACTGTGTTCTGTAGAAGAGAAATTCCACAGATTATTGACTCTCTCAGAGAAAAAAACACCCTCAACTCCACTTTAAAAGCAAGACTCTTAACTGCTTCTAATTAGATTAAAACGCCTATCTGGGACACCTCAGATGTGCCATTTTGCTATGAAGATAGCGTTAGAGAAGCTTTTTTGTTTCATTTTGGACTTTTGTTTTGATTTTTCATGGAAGTGGGCAGTCAGCTCTGAAATAGCGAGAATCTGTCAGAAATTGTAAAAGTAGCCGGGAAACCAGAAGCCGAGGGCAGTCAGGAACTGGAGGGGTTTCTGGTTTGGAATCAATAAACAAGAAAGCAACAAAGAAGAATGCTTAAGCAGGCAGTCTACAACTGTGAGGTGTTGAAAGAAAATTTGAAAGACTGATGCTAGTGGACGATTTTAAGAAATTTAATATCTTGGAGAATAATGGAAATGCAGAGGAGATTTAAAGTGAATTCCTGAGAACTGTCACATACCTTGTTTTGTTCACAGGAAAAGGCAAGTACCCTCAAGGTCCTGTTAAGAATAGGGGAAATCTTGGATGGAAATAAAAAGTATAACAGGAAGTATACTTTGAAACTTTCAGGTTTAATGGGATGGGTGCTTATGAAATATAGCACTATGACTAATAAGTTAGTAGAAATGGTGAAATTATTTTTATTTAAGATGTTGAATTTTTGGTATAATTCTTTCAGCTAATAACAGGAAGAACACGTTTCTTTGAAAAGTTATTTGTCTCGACTGAGTGTGTAACAGCAAATCGCCATTGTAATGCAGGAACCATTGTAGCCAATTTGTGCAAAGCAAATTCCCACAAAAAGGAATGAGATAATAGCCAGGTTATCTGCTTTGCTGGAGTAGTTATAAATACTGGTTTTTCTTTTTGCCTGATCTAAAATCCAATGTTGTGTTGTAAAGATAGAGAAACACACCTGGTTCTTGGCCTTATTTAGAGTCAGGCGCTTGGCCTGGCTGTCAAACAGGGAGTGAGCATGTTTCTCCTTTTCCTTTGGGGTCAAGGGGCGAGGAAAACAGCTCAGTTGCTTCTTGGCCTGCAAAGGAGGAAACAAATTTAAGTGCAAAAATATTTAGACAGCAATTGCTTTACAATAACAAATTCACGCTGCCTACAACCACCATTCATTTAAGCAGACTGCATGTTCAGACTCCATTCCCCTCTTGGAATTATGCAACATGCAGTACAGGAACACGCCATTCAGCCCAACCAGGTTGTTAGTTAATGCTCCACACAAACCTTCCCCGACCCCACCCCGAATCATTTCTCCAATTAGCATATTCTTCTTTCCCCTTCTCCGGCAGGCATTTATTTAACATCCCCACAAATGCTTGGCAATTTAACTACGCCCTGTTGTAGAAGAATACAGAATTAGGGGTTGCTGTTCGAAACTAAGGGATCACTCATTTAAAATCAGAAATAAAGACACTTATCACCCCATACAGAGGGCAGCATCTTGAGAAATTTCTTCCTCAAAAGACAGTGCAAGCACAGGCCTTGAATATTTTTTTTTGAGACAGAACTGCCTCTTGATAATGAAGGGGTTTAAAGGTTACTTGGAGTAAACAGGAACATGAAATTATGGTTACCATGAGTTATGATCTTCTTGAATGGTGTAACAAGCTCAAAGGGCCAAGTGGCCTACTCCTGCTCTTAATTCATATCTTCACCACTGTAAAGATGGTTCTCCAGAATTTCCCATTGTGTTTTTTTTATCATCTTATATCTGTGACCCCATGTTTTACACAACCCATCTCCAGAGTTCTTCAAAGTAGGGGGGGAAAAAGTGTATTCTTGCAACGAGGGGCTGACAGATTTGAGAGGTCTCTCTGTGAGCACGTCAGTTACCACGCTTCCTACAACAAACTGCACACATGAAAAAGGCCCTGACAAGGGCAACCTGCTTTGGGACATCTCAAGATTTTGAAAGCTACTGTATAAATTGAAATTCTTCTTCCTTTCCAAATATGTACAGCAGAAAGACAGCCCATTCAGTCCAACAAATCTAAGATAGTGTTTATGCTCCACTTGAGCCTTTGCTCAGCAAAGTGCATGAGCTATAGCCCTTGGCCTCTTCACCCCCTACTTACCTCTGGGGTGCCTGATCCTTGGTGTGACTCCTCTGACAGTCGCTTGCGCTGGCGAGTGGTGACTCCTTTCCAGTTGGGCCCCTGAGAGTCAGTGGAAAGCCTCTTCTGACGGCCGGTGCTCATCTCCTTTATCTGCTGAGGTAGCAGGGTGGCCCTTCGGAGAGTCTCCTGCGGGTCTCCGAGTCTCAGCTCATCCTCGGTGATCATCGATTCATTGGTAGCAGTCTGGTAGGGTGAGCGGACAATGAAATTTTTTTAAAAAGGAGATAAAAATGGTTAATTTCTTTTTAGAAGCCTTTGCAGTGGAGTCACATCTTTAAGCATTCTACAGCTGCCTTTGGGGATTACCTCTCCACCTCCCCAAATGGTTTGAAGATTTTGCTGATATTTGTGGTGACTGCTTTAAGATAAAATGACATAAGTATAAATCCGACAACAACAATCTTTTTCTTTATTCTTTCACGGTATCTGGCTATCATTGGCAAAGTCAGCCTTTCTCCCCATCCCTAATTGTTCTTGACCTGAGTGGCTTGCTACGCCATTTCAGAAGCAGTTAAGAGTCAACTATATTGCTGTGGATCTAGAGTCACATGTATATATGACCATGTAAGATTTTTTTTTTCTTATTCATTTATGGGATGCGTGCGTCGCTGGCTGGCCAGCATTTCTTGCCCATCGCTAGTTGCCCTTGAGAAGGTGGTGGTGAGTCGCCTTCTTGAACCACTGCATGCCTCCTGCTGTGGGTTGACCCACAATGCTATTAGGCAGGGAATTCCAGGATTTTGACCCAGTGAAGTGAAGGAACGGCGATATATTTCCAAGTCAGGCTGGTGAGTAACTTGGAGGGGAACTTGGAAGTGGTGGTGCTCCCATATGTCTGACGCCCTTGTCCTTCTAGATGGGAGTGGTCGTGGGTTTGGAGGGTGCTGTCTGAGGATATTTGGTGAATTTCTGTAGTGCATCTTGTAGATAGTACACACTGCTGCTACTGAGCGTCGATGGTGGCGGGAGTGAATGCTTGTGGAAAGTGGGCACGTTTCCTTCCCTAAAGAGGCATTAATGAACCAGAGAAGGTATTACAACAATTGGTGATAGTTGTCATGGCCATCATTACCAGGAAATACATTTAAGATTTTATCAATTCATTAAATTCCACCAGCTGCTGTGGTGGGGTCTGGACCCATATCCCTAGAGCATGAGGTCTGCTGAAAAGGGGAATACTGTAGATGCTGGAAATTTAAAATAAAAACAGAAAATGCTGGGGAATAAAATCTCAAAAGGGTGGGCAGCGTCCTTGTAGAGAAAGAGAGTCAATGTTTCAGCTTATCAAGACCAAAGAGAGTGGTGATGGGGCGAGAAAAGAAACAACCAAAGCAATCAGAATTGGTGAGCTACTGACTGAAAGGAAAGAACAAAGAAAACAAGCAAAGAAAGAGAAACTAGTTTGGGACAGAGTTTGAAATCAATGTTTAGTCTGAAAGCCTAGTGCTTGGTTGAAAGGTGAAGTTTCACTCCTCAATCTTACACTAAATGTCACTGCAGGGTGAGGACAGGGATGTCAGCATTACAGCAAAGTGGAGAATCAGTCAGGCCACCAGAAGTCAGGAGTCTCAACTATGGACTGAATGGAGGTGTTCTGCAAAGACAGCACCCAATTTCTGTTTGGTTGCCCCAACACAAAGGGGACCACATTGTGCTCAGCAAATACAGTAGACTAGATTGAAAGTAGTACATTTAAATTGCTGCTTCACCTAAAGGGAGTGTTTGGGCCTTGGACAGGAGGGAGAGGGGAGGCAGAAGGGTAGGTGGTATATCTGCTGCATTTGTAATAGCCTATGCCTCTGAATTAATTGCCCAATCACATACACCACTACCTCCCATTTTCACTCTGGAGAATAAAAATTCAATTAAGACATCTAGAAACAATATGTTAATTCTATGATCACTATCAAGTATAACAAATTTCTGTCGAGCTCCAACATTCGTGGAAATCTGTTATCTTTATCTGGTGTAACCGATGCAGTCTTCACGCTCATCTACCCTCTGAAATGGATGAAGCAGCCATTCTGTTGTATTTAACGAACAACAGGAAACAAAGGTTGGGCAATAAATGCTGGCCTTACTAGCAGCTCTTTTCCTCAATATTTTCTTGCTCCGACATTTTTTAATCCAGACCAGGGCATTACAAGCTGGAGTGACTGCTAATTAACCTTGAGATGATGAGCTGCAAGAGGCACACACAGAATTAAAAGGAACAGAACTGCGTTTATTATTGTTCACTCCTAATTGCGCTTAGAAGGTAGTGATGAGTCTTCTACTTGAATTAGGTCAATGTATGATTTCTATATTTGAGCTGGTACCACACCGTCAGTTTTGCTGGGATTCTCCCCTGAAGAATGGAAGGAGGCTGTTCAGCCCCTTAAAGCCTATTCCACTATTTAAACAGAAATTGTCTGACTCATATTTCAACTCCAACAATCCCGTAGGTAGTCACACCACTCCATAACCTTTGCTAGTAGCTGGGACACAACTCCTGGTTTCTGATTTCCAGCTGACTTGATCTGGATTTCTGTCAGGAAATTTTCTGAAGGGTTCCGACCCAAAACATCAACTTTCCTGCTCTGCAGATGTTGCCTGGCCTGCTGTGTTCCTCCAGCTCCGCAATGTGTTATCTCTGACTCCAGCATCTGCAGTTCTTACTTTCTCTAAATTTCTGTCAGCTGGATAGGGCTTCATTGGAAATTCTAGGCATGGTGAGGATGTGATGTCTTCCAAGATTAAACAGATCTGGATAGTCATTAGCCAAGTCTACCCACCCAACTCACGGAACTGGAAGTAAAAGACAATAATCATCTTAAAGTACAAACGAATAAGGTTGCCAAGATGCTGAGGGGATCTAATCAAGGAGCAAGAGAAAGTTACTTTCCTCTGACCAGTTGGTCAATGACTAGAGGTGACAGATCATTGGCAAAAGAGGGGAGACAAGACATTTTGTTGTCAAGATATAGAACGTGTCAATACAGTGTGTAGCTGGAGGAACACAGCAGGCCAGGTAACATCAGAGGAGCAGGAAAGTTGACGTTTTGGGTTAGGACCTTTTCATCAGGACTGGGGAGGGGGAAGGGAGCTTTGAAATAAATAGAGGGAGGAGAGAGGAGGGGTGGGGCTGGGGGAAGGTAGGTGGAATGGTGATAGGTGGATGCAGATAGGTGGGTAAGAAGATGGACAGGTTGAGTCAGGACAAGGAGGTGGGGAATGAGAGGGAAGGTTAGATATAGAATGAGGTCAGGGATGGGGAGATTTTGAAACTGGTGAATTCCATATTCAGGCCTTCAGGTTGTAGGCTCCCAAGGTGGAATATGAGGAGTTGTTCCTCTAGTTCCAAAATCTCCCCTCCCCAGCCTCATCCCATGTCCAATGCCTCCCTCTCATCCCTGCCTCCTTAACCTGACACAACCTGTCCATCTTCTTTCCCACTTATCTGCCCCATCCCTCCCACTGACCAATCCCCACTGAACTCCACTGCATCCACCTATCACTATTCTACCTACATTCCCCCAGACCCAGCCCTCCTCCCTCTATTTGTCTCCCAGCTCCTTTTGCTCTCCCCAGTCCTGATGAAGGGTCCTGACCCAAAACATCTACTTTGCTGCTCCTCTGATGCTGCCTGACCTGCCGTGTTCCTCCAGCTCCACAATGTACTGAATCCGACTCCAGCATCTGCAGTTGTTGCTATCTCCAACATATAGAGCGTTCAACCTGAAATGTTGGTGGTAAGCTGAAATTTAACAGGAGAGAGGTAGACAGGTTGGAAGGTAAGGAACTTGAGGATTATGCACCAAAAACTGGGGATGCTGGTTTAAAACATTGCTGTTCTTTCAGGGAAATACAAGCTGAGTAGGATGAATGGCCTCCTTATAGGCAATAGGTTGCCGTGTTCAATAGGATGAACAGCATAAGATAATTTGAATGAAGTAAATATGCTTTCTTACATTGGATTCCAAGGGATACGATGTCTTCAGATGTGGGGGGCACACCCCATTCCGTCGCTGCAGTTCAGCAATCCGATTCCAGTCTTCCAGCTGATCAGGTTCATCCTGGCAGCTTCCAGGGTACAAACTGCTTGAACCTGTTCAAGGGGAATGGGAGGAAAAGCAAATGTAAAAATCCCAACCAGACCTTGCCTGGCTTGTGGAGATAAATAATCTGATCTACACGGAAAAAACCATAGCTGGGTCCTGAATGAAGATTCGCTGGGGTAGCTACATTAATGATCCCTAAAACTGAACAGTCTCATGTTGTCAGAGGGGAGGATGGTGAACAGGACTGACATGAGCATTTGCCTAGAAGGAAACAGCAGCAAGAAATTCCTTGAGCTATTTAACACCATTTTATTAGATCATGATTGATCTGCATCTCAACGCTCTTCTCTGCCTTTGCTCCAGACACTCCATTCTCTATCTCACAAGTGCGATTTTGATGCACTTTGCAAGGGAGAACATGGACAGACAATACAAAGTAGAATATACAGTACTTAAGGGTGTGCAAGAGCAGGGGAACCTGGGTATATGTGTGCATAAAGCATTGAAGGTAGCAGACAGGTGGAGAGACCAGTTAGTAAAGCATGCAGTATTCTGGGATTGACGAATAGGGGCACAGCTTAAAAGATAAAAGACAATGATGTTGAATTATACAAGACAATTGTTAGTTCTCAACTGGAATATTTACAATCCTGGGCACGACATAGTTGGAATGATGTGAATGCATTGGAGTGTGTGCAGAGGAGATTTAAAAAAATAGTTTCAGAAATAGAAACTTCAGAAATGAGAATGGATCAGAAAGGATAGGATCATTCTCCGCAAAAGAAGGCGACTGAGGTGAGAACTAAGTTTTAAAAATCTTTTTACATTTTCAAAATCGAATTAGGCAAATCTATTCCAGCTAGTAAAAGGATCAAGAATAAGGCATTACAGAGTTAAGATGACTTGCAAATGTCACAAGTGTGGAAGAGGAAAAAAAATTACACACTGAATGGTTCAGATCTGGAATGCACCACTTGGAAGTGAAGTGGGGACAGTCAACTGAAGTATTTAAGAGGGTGATGTTTCTATTTAAATAATCATCCAATGTTCAAGGGTAAGGGGAAAGACAGGTGAATGGTATTAAGTCATAATACTTGTTAGAGAGCCAGCACAGACATGATGGGCAGAATGAAATCCTTCTATGTTGTAACAATTGTGATTGTAGTCAAACAAAAATGTGTTCGTTTTAAAACTAAAATTGTTCAATCGATTTTTCAGCTTCCAACCTATTTACTTAACAAAATCCAAAAATCAAATTAAGTGAACATCATGTAAAATACTGGTGTGTATTGCCTGTAAAACTATTTCTTTAAAAGATAATTCAGGATATTTGGGTCAGTGAGATTGCAGTGCCTATAACCGCACATCTCCCTTCTCCATCATCATCTTTCTAATTGTAGGTGAAAACAAAAAATAGATACCAACCCTGCAGCAGCCAATGGCAAATTTTTATATCCATTAAGTCTAATTGGCCCATCATGCCAGTGTTTGCTCTGAAACAATTTAAAAATTCTTTTGCTTTTTTACATTACTTGCTAGTTTGCACTGAGTTTATTTTCTCCCGTTTTTTGGTTACCTTTTGATTGGGAAAGTTTTAAAAACAATTCTCTCATCTTTGGCATGTTTTCTTTCAATCTGATACTATCGTTAATGTCCTCAGTTAACCACTGTTGGTTTTTCCTCTTCCTGCAATCCTTCTTCTTCAATGGGTATACCCCTGCTGTAAGCCATGAATTTCTTAAATCTAACATTCTGTACCAAGGTACCTTTGTACCTAAGCTGGCACTGACGGTCATGACTTGTAAACTTTTCACTGCACTCATGTGAGTACATATGACAATAAATGTGTCCAAGAGAAGACAGAGGGTGGTAGTAGATGGAAAGTATTCAGCCTGGAGCTCGGTGACCAGTGGCGTGCCGCAGGGATCTGTTCTGGGACCTCTGCTCTTTGTGATCTTTATAAATGACTTGGATGAGGAAGTGGAAGGGTGGGTTAGTAAGTTTGCCGATGACACGAAGGTTGGTTGAGTTGTGGACAGCGTGGAGGGCTGTTGTAGGTTGCAATGGGGCATTGACAGGATACAGAGCTGGGCAAAAAAGTGGCAGATGGAATTCAACCCAGAAAAGTGTGAAGTGATTCATTTTGGAAGGTCGAATTTGAATGCATAATACAGGGTCAATGGCAGGATTGTTGGCAGTGTGGAGGAACAGAGGGATCTTGGGGTCCATGACCACAGATCCCTCAAAGTTGCGACCCAAGTTGATAGGGTTGTAAAGAAGGCGTATGGTGTGTTGGCTTTCATTAGCAGGGGAATTGAGTTTTAAGAGCTGTGAGGTTATGCTGCAGCTCTATAAAACTCTGGTTCGACCACACTTGGAATACTGTGTTCAGTTCTCATTATAGGAAAGATGTAGAGGCTTTAGAGAGGGTGCAGAGGGGGTTTACCAGGATGCTGTCTGTACTGGAGGGCAGGTGTTATGAGGAAAGGTTGAGGGAGCTAGGACTTTTTTCATTGGAGTGAAGAAGGATGAGAGGTGACATGATAGAGGTTTACAAGATGATGAGAGGCATAGATAGAGTGGATAGTTAGAGACTTTTTCCCAAGGCGGAAATGACTATTACGAGGGGGCATAATTTTAATGTGACTGGAGGAAGGTATAGGGGAGATGTCAGAGGTAGGTTCTTTACACACAGACAGTGGTGGGCAAGTGGAATGCACTGCCAGCAGTGGTAGTGGAGTCAGATACTTTTGACACTTTTAAGCGACTTTTGGATAGGCACATGGAGGATAGTAAAATGTAGGGTATGCAGGGTAGATCCATCTTAGTAGGATAATAGGTCAGTACAACATCATGGGCCGAAGGGCCTGTACTGTACTGTTCTATGTTCAATTTAATCAATTCAATTCAAATGTCTGACTGTTCATCAAGCATTTTTCTTCTGAACTCATTTCACAGTCCACTCCAATCAACTCTGCCCTAATTCCTTTGTAAACACCCCTTATTCAAGTCTAGTGCGGTTGTTAACGACCCAAGTTTCTGTAACTGAATGTTAAATTTTATCATGTTACAGTCACTGTTCCTGAGGAATATTTTACTCCCAAGATAATTTATTAAACCTGCCTCTTACACATCATCAGATCCAATATAGCCTGATCCCTGGTTTGATCCAGAATACCCTGTTCAAGGAAGTGGTCCTGAATACACTACGATTCTTCCATATGACTACCTCGGTCGATTTGACTTTCCCAAATCTACATGAAGAGTAAAGTCATCCATTACTGCCTATTTTACATTATGTCCTGATTTATTCTCAGCCCCACCATATAGCTACAATTAGGAGCCTATAAGACTACTGCCACTAGTGTTGTCTTATCCTTGTTCTTTCTTACGTCCAATTTGGATTCTACAACTTCCAATCCAAGATCCTGTCTAGCTATTGTGCTTATTCCACCTGGTTCTTAAAGAAACTCCATCACCATTCTGTGTCTGCCTTCTGAAAAGTCCACATACACCTGAATATTTAGTTCCCAGCTTTGGTCTCTTTGTGACTATGTCTCCACACTATTATAAAATCATCCTATTGGTCTCTAACAGTGCCATTAATTCACTTATTTTGGTAAAATTCTTTTGCTTTGCAAGTTTCCTGAACCCTCACGTCTTCTCTAATCAATTTAGAGCCCTTGTTATTCAATTTGCCAGGTCAAGTGAAGCCTGTCCCAGTGGAACAGCTCCCTTCTTTCTACCCAAGTACTGGAGTCAGTGCCCCATGAATTGAAACCTCTTCCTCCTACATCAATTGAACCATGCATTTAACTCCTTAACTTTACTTACCCTACACCAATTTGCTCTGGCTCAGGTAGTAACCCTGGGATTATTGCTTTAGACGTTCCGATTTCTGATTAAGTGGTCAAATTCTTTCATCCTTTCTAGTGCTAGAATGTCATTGGTACTATTTGGGAATGGCAACAACTGGATTCTTTCGCTCCCATTGCAAGTTTCTCAACAGCTCCGAGATGAAGCCCTTAACCCTTGCACTGGACAGGCAGCACTGCCGTTGGTATTTCCGCTCACAGCTGCAGTGAACAGTATCTAGCTCTATACAATTGCTACATTCGTATTTCCTCCTTCCATTTGAATAGTTATCCTGTACCAGCGTTGTGGTCAGTTCACTCATTCTACCTGCAGGCCCCATTCCCACTCTCATAGCTCGCAAGAATCTTGCATCTGCTGGACATTCAGGGGCCTGATTCCTCTAACGTTACTCTCTGGGTTCCCGTAACTACCTTTACGGCAATACAGTCTCTCGTCCTTGGTCCAAACTTAAAGCACTTAATCTGAGGAGTGAGACTGCCTGGAGCAAAACGTCTTTCTTAGTCCCACAGTAAATGACACGTGTCCATTCCCTTTCCCCAAGAACCTACCCGAGGCAACACTGCCGAATGCAGACAGCCTGGTGGACCTCCTGGTTGATGGCCGGTAGCCTGGCAGGTTCATTAGGGCAGCGGCTCCCAAGTCCTCTGCATTACTGCTGCTGTCCAGCGAGTCCTGGGACATGGAGCGATCAATGATTGGAAGGGAGATGGCGGAGGTGGGCCGATTCCTCCGACCTCCCCGGGAAGGCCGGCCCAAGAGGTTGGGTTGAGAAGAGGAGGACTGGGTGCCCAGAACTGAAGAGCTTGAAGTGCTGGCTTCCTCTTGGTCAACTGTCTCCTTCTGCGAGGCAGGCAAGAGGATTGCACTCAGAGATCAACAAAGGAGGACTGTCACCAAGGCAAACAGCTACCAATACGCTACACAGTATATTAGAAAAATGTTAGACGCTTTTTAAAAAAAGAAAATATTTTTCATAAAACCAAAGGAGTAGGAGGCTATTCAGGCCAAAATGCCTGTTTCATCATTCAATAATCTGGTAGTGGGCTGAACTCCACTTTCCTATCTGTCTTTCTCCTCATACACCACCCAACAACCCAAACCACTAATTATGTCAATCGCTTGTTTAGCAATATACTACTTACCAATGGTCAGTTTGAGTTCTGCCAAGGCCACGTAGATCCTGAGCTCATTACAACCTTAGTTCAAAACTGGACAACAACAGCTGAATTCCCAAAAGAAGTGACAGTGACTGCCTTGGACATCAAAGTGGTATTAACTGTAGCATCAAAGAATCTGAACATCTTGTAAGTTGTTGGAACTGCACTCATCCAGGCAAGTGGACAGTACTGCACCAGACTCCTGACTTAGGAACAGGCTTTGGGGATTCAGGAGGTGAATTACTTGCTGCAGTATTCCTAACCTCTGATCTGCTCTTTTAGCATATATGGTTATATCTTTTATACACAAGGGAAGCAATGGCCTAATGGCATTGTCACTGGACTGTTAACCGGAGACCCAGAGTGTATTCTGGGACATGGGTTTGAATCCTGCCACAGCAGATGGTGGAATTTGAATTCAATAAATATCTGGAATTAAGAGTCTAATGATGACTGTGAATCCATTGTCGATTGTCAGAAAAACCCATCTGGTTCACTGATGTCCTTTAGGGAAGGAAACTGCCTACATGTGACTCCAGACCCACAGCAATGTGACTGACTCTTAACTGCCCTCTGGGCAATTAGGGATGGGCAATAAATGCTGCTTAGCCAGTGACGCCCTCATCCCATGAATGAATAAAGAAAAAAAAAGCTATGAAAAGCACACGATTATATCTAGAATGAAACATTCCCTTACATAAACACCACTTGCACAAGAGAAGGGGTTCCTTTGCATACCTTTGTCATCAGGATGTTGATGACTTGAGTTGTGCGTCTCCGCCCAGAGCGGGTTTTCTTGGCTGAGTCCAGACTCAGGTCACCGAGAGAGCTGAGGCTGGTATCCAGTTTGGACTGGCTACGGCTGGGCAGTGGGGTGAAGTACAGAGACTCCAGGGAATCTTGGCTGCCACGTTGTTTCTGTGCAGCGTGAGATCCTGCTCTCCTTTGAGCTGCGACAGGAGTCTTGTAAGCTGCCTTCCCCCTCCTGGGGAATAAATAAAAAAAATTTTTAAAATGAGGTTCTTTGTTCAAGACAGAGATAACATACCGTAAATACTGGTCAGCTGATTGTGTATGAAGGAAAGAGCAGATCCAGAGCAAGTGCACGCACAAACCCTGTTCACATCTGACAGTTTCACAACAAGATCAGAACTTTGGAGCTGCATCAATTCTGACCATCTAAATTTTGAAAGTGTAGATCCTGCTTTTGTTCTATTCCAGCCCTTCTCATAACATATGTTAAAAAGGATTGCAAAGAATTATTCCACGTATTTCTCTAAGGTACAGGTTGAACACCTCTAAAGGCCAAAAGATCTGAATGGCATTAGCACAGTCTTGCATTAGGGTAAGTTGCTTGCAAATCAGAAGACACGCCAAACATACAAAGTTTGATTTTTCTTGTTGAGATTGCTCAGCAACACTAACCTACATAAACTGTAGCATTACAACTTGCACATGGATACAATTCACACAATGTAGATTTGGCTCCTGGCACTTAAGAGCTGTGGGTTAGAAATCAGATATTAAATGGGCCTCAATTTAATTCACAAAAGAACGGTGGTAGAGAGAAAAATAAGTTAGCCTTTAATTTCTTAAACTAGTTCAAGAAAAGGATTAAAAATAAGGGGCACTGAGCATTTGTTTTGATACTCAGAATAATTTTTGCGTTGGAAGCAAGGCAGCACAGTGGCTCAGTGGTTAGCACTGCTGCCTCACAGCGCCAGGGAATGGGGTTCGATTCCACCCTTGGGCAACTGTCTGTGTGGAGTTTGCACGTTCTCCCTGAGTCTGTGTGGGTTTCCTCCAGGTGCTCCGGTTTCCTCTCACAGTCCAAAGATGTTAGGTGGACTGGCCATGCTAAATTGCCCATATAGCATCCAAGATGTGCAGGCTAGGTGAATTAACCAGGGGAAATGCAGGGTTACGGGGGCTGGGTAGAGGTGTGGGTCTGGGTGGGATGCTGTTCAGAGGATCAGTGTGGGCTGAATCCACACTGTAGGGATTCTATGATTCAGTGTCAGATATGGCTCACAGTACACAACAGCCTCAACTCAGATTCAGAAAGACATGGGATCAAGTGAAACTCCACAGACTCCAGCACAAAACCCCAGGCTGCCCTGCGAAGAGCTACTGAGGGGTGCTGCACTACTGGCAGCGCTATCTTTTAGATTCAACATTAAACCAAAATCTAGAAGTGATAAAAAGAGCTGTATGAATGTGAAACTACTTTACCTGCCCCCAGTATTCTCCCACATCATCGTTGTTTCCTCCAAGTCGCTCAGCTCGATGCTGTCCTTGCTGAAATCAGCTTCTGATTCTTCAGCCCGCGATGAGCCTCTGCGGGTGTCAACACGGGACTTCACAGATCCAGTGGTCTGACTTGGCTTATTGAGTTCTCTCAGCTGCCGGTCAGCAAATTCCACCTACCGAGCATACACAGTGACAAAATTGCACAGACGCAGTGCAAAAAAATATTTTGATCATAAGCTGGGAGAGGACTCTATAAAAGGCAACTACAAAGACATGAAAGGTAACCACAGCCGGAGTCTGCACACTATCAGGTGCTCTCAACTGTCTTTTCCAAAAGCAAAGATCTGCCTGTCTTGGAGCCCTTAATACTCTTTTCTTAGAAAAAAGTAGTCCATTCAGCTCATCTTGCCTTTCCCTGATACTTTGTTAAATCATACTGAGATGCATCTTTATTCTGCTTAGCTCTAATTCCCTAGATACCCCTTACCTAACATAAATCAAGTGATTAAGAACAGGAGGCACTGGAGAAACAATTATAATTCCAGGAGTAGAGTCAGAGGGAGGAGCACAGTAGTATAAATCTAACTTACCTCGGGGCGGGGGAGAATGCTGGAAAGAAAGTGATGTCACAGGAGGGCTGTGACAGGATTGGCTGACAGGAAATGTGTCCCAGATTTTTTTTAAAAAGTCACTGTAAAACAAATTAATAAATAACTAACCAACCAGGGGTTAGTTAATAAATTAATTAGTTAGTTATGTAGAGATGGCTGGGCAGGTGAAGTGCTGTATGATGCGGGAGTTGGCTGATCCCATTGTGAAACGCAGTGACCGCATCTGCAGTAGCGTCGGTTGCTGGAAGAACTTCGGTTCAGAATTGATGAGTCGGAGTCTGAGCTTCAGACACTGTGGCACATCCACGGAGGGGGAAAGAGTTACCTGGACCCTCTGTTTCAGGAGGCAGTGACACCTGTTAGGTTAAGTACCACAAATTCCGTCAGTGGCCAGGGACAACAGGGTGTGACAGCAAGTGAGGCAGGTAGAGGGATCCTGCTTTCAGGAACAGAGGAGCCTTAGCTCCTGAACTTGTCCAACAGCCATGAGGTACTTGATCCCTGTTTGGATGAGGAACCTGGCTGTAGGGAGGATGAGCCAGCTGACCACAGCACCATGGAACAGGGAGCTATTCAACAGCAGGGAGCAAAATGACAGGTGGTAGTTGTAGGGGGATTTTATAATTAGGGGAATAGATAGCAGGATGGTGTGTCCCGCATGATATGTTGCCTGCCCGGTGCCAGGGTGAGGGACATCTCTGACTGGCCTGGAAGGATATTGGAGAGGCAGGGGGAAGATCCAGTTGTTGTGGTCCACATCGGGACAAACAGAGGCAAGACTAGGAAAGAGGACTTGTTTCGGGATTATCAGGAACTAGAAATTAAATTAAAGAACAAGTCCTCAAGGGTTATAATCTCTAGATTACTGTCAAACCACATACAAATTGGCATAGGTATGCGAGATTAAGGGAAGTAAGCACGCGGCTAAAAATGGGAAAGAGGGGTCCCTTTTCATGGGGCACTGGCATCAGCATTGGAACAGGAGGGATCTGCACTGATGGGATAGTCTCCACCTGAACTGAGCTGGGACCAAAGTTGTAGCGAAAAGAGTAAATAGGCTGGTCAATAGGACTTTAAACTAAAAAGGGGGGGCATGGAAGGGAAGGGTAAAACTCCAAGGAGTCTAACAGCCAATGGGAAACAAAGCAGCAGGTTAACATTTGTGGAAGTGGATTCAACTGCATGGAAAAATATGAAAAAAGTGAAAGGAAAGGAGAACTCAGGAGAGGTTATTAAAGTCTCTAGCACACAAAATAGGACACAGTGTTTGAAAAAGGTTAGCAATCAAACTTCAAGCACACTGGATAAACGAATGATAATGAGAAGAGGGGCAGTCAATACAGGACTGAAAGTGTTATATCTGAACGCATGCAGTATACGAAATAAGGTAAATGAGCTTGTAGTGCTGATTGAAATTGGCAGGTATGATACAATGGACATCACAGAGATGCGGCTACAAGGGGATCAGGACTAGGAGCTAAATATCCAAGGACATACATCCTACCGAAAAGACAGGCAGGTGGGCATAGAGAGTTGGGGTTGCCTTATTAGTAAGCAATGAAAGTTAAATCAATAGCAAGAAACGAAGTAGGGTCAGATGATACAGAATCTGTGTGGGTAGAGTTGAGAAACCACCAAGATTTAAAAAAAAACAGAATGGGAGTTAAGTACAGGCCTCCAAACAGTAGTCAGGATTTGGGGCACAAGATACACCAGGAAATAGGAAAGGTGTACAAGAAAGGCAAGACTACAGTGATCATGGGGGATTTCAATAAGCAGGTGGACTGGGAAAATAGGTTGGTAGCAGATTGCAAGAAAAGGAATTTGTAGCATGTCTACAAGATGGCTTTTTGGAACAGCTTATGGTGGAGCCCACTAGGGAACAGGCAATTCTGGATTTAGTGTTGTGCAATGAGGCAGACTTGGTAAGTGAGCTTAAGGGAAAAGAACCCTTAGGAGGCAGTGACCATAATATGAAAGAATTTACTCTGCAATTTGAGAGGGAGAAGGTGGAATCAGATATAACGGTATTACAGTTGAATAAAGGCAGCTACAAAGGTAAGAAAGGAGAAGCTGACCAGAATTGACTGGGAGAGGAGTCTAGCAGGAAAGATAGTGGAACAGCAATGGCAGGAGTTTCTGGGAGTAATTCGGGAGACACAGCAAAAATTCATCCCTAGGAAAAAGAAGCATACTCAAGGGAGGATGAGACAACCATGGCTGGCAAGGGAAGTCAGGGACAGCATAAAAGCAAAATAGAAAGCATATAATGAGGCGAAGGGCAGTGGTAAGCCAAAGGATTGGGAAGCCTACTAAGACTAACAAAGGACAATGAAGAAAGGAATAAGAAGGGAGGAGATTAAATATTAGGGTAAGCTAAACAGTAACATAAAAGATTGTAAGAGTTTCTTTAGATACATCAAGGGCAAAAGTGGACATTGGACCACTGGAAAATGACACTAGAGAAGTAGTAATGGGGGACAAGGAAATGACTGAGGAACTGAATAAGTACTTTGCATCAGTCTTCACAATGGAACATGAGTAATATCCCAAAAATTTGAGTGTGTCAGGGGCAGAGTTGAGTATGGCGAGTAAGGAGAATGTGGACAAATCACCTGGACCAGATGGACTACACCCCAGAGTTCTGAAGGAGATAGCTTAAGAGATAGTGGAGGTGTTAGTGGTGATCTTTCAGGAATCACTGGAGTCAGGGAGAGTTCCAGAGCACTGGAACAATGCTATGGTTACCACCCTGTTTAAGAAGCGAGTAAGGCAAAAGGGAAAGTTACAGGCCAATTAGCCCGACCTCAGTCATTGGTAAGATTTGGCAGTCCATTTTGAAGGATGAGATTTTTGAATACTTGGAAGTGCATGGTAAAGTAGGGCGAAGTCAGCATGGTTTCATCAGGGGGAGGTCATGCCTGACAAATCTGCTAGAATTCTTTGAGGAGGTAACTAGCAGGTTAGACCAAGGAGAGCCAATGGATGTTATCTACCTGGTTTTCCAGAAGGCCTTTGACAAGGTGCCACACAGGAGGCTTTTGAGTAAGATAAGGGCCCACGGTGTTACAGGCAAGGTACTGGCATGGATAGAAGATTGGCTGTCTGGCAGAATGCAGAGTGGGGATAAAAGGGTCCTTCTCAGGATGGCAGCCTGTGACAAGTGGTGTTTCACTAGGGTCAGTGTTGGGACAACAACTTTTCACCTTATACATCAGGAACTGAGGGCATTCTGATTAAGTTTGCAGATGATAAAAAGAGAGGTAGAGGGACAGGTAGTATTGAGGAGGCAGGAAGGCTGCAGAAGGGTTTAGACAGGTTCGGAGAGTGGGCAAAGAAGTGGCAGATGGAATACAATGTGGGAAAGTGAGAGGTCATGCACTTTGGTAAGAAGAATAGAGGCATGGTCTATTTTCTAAATGGGGACAAAATTCAGAAATCTGAAGTGCAAAGGGACTTGGGAGTCCTAGTCCAGACTTCTCTTAAGGTAAACTTGTAGATTGAGTCAGTTGCTAGGAAGGCAAATACAATGTTGGTACTTATTTTGAGAGGACTAGAATATAAAAGCAGGGATATACTTCTGAGGCCGTATAAAGCTCTGGTCAGACCACATTTAGAGTATTGGAAGTAATTTTGGGCCCCGTACCTCAGGAAGAATGTACTGGCCCTGGCGCAGGTCCAGAGGAGATTTACAAGAATGATCCCAAGAAATGGGTGGTTTAACATATGAGGAACTCGGGGACTCTGGGTCTATACTCGGTGGAGCTTGGAAGGAGTTGGGGGGGGTTCTAATTGAAACTCACCAGAATACTAAATGGCCTGGACAGAGTGGACATTGGGAAGGTGTTTCCATTGGTACGAGGGACTATGACCCAAGGGCACTGCCTTAGAGTAAAGGGAAGACCCTTTAGAAGAAGGGATAAGGAGAACCTTCTTCAACCAGAATGTGATGAATCTATGGAATTCATTGCCACAGAGGCTGTGGAGGACAGGTCATTGAGTATATTTAAGACAGAGATAGATAGGTTCTTAATTGTCAACCGATCAAGGGTTACAGGGAGAAAGCAGGAGAATGGGGTTGAGAAACTTATCAGCCATGATTGAATAGCGTAGCTGACTCAATGAGCCAAATGGCCTAATTTCTGCTCCGATGTCTTATGGTCAACCCAGCAGATCTGGCAGCTTCTCTGGAGGCAGAAATAGACTTAAAACATTAACTCTATTTCTCTCTCCACAAATGCTGCCATACCTGCTCAGTTTCTCCAGCATTTCCTGTTTTTATTTGGGATTTCTAGCATCTGCAGTATTTTGCTTTGTATCCAAGATTATTCATCTGGCTTGGCTCCAAACACCTTTATACCCATGGTGGCTGGGGAGATTAAAAAAATCTATCGACCTCAGATTTGAAATCAACAGAGGTGGCACCCTCAGATTATTGTGGGAAATGCTCCACACACTCACCACCATTACTTCTTTTGACAGCTGTAGTATTTCCTAACTTCTCTTCTGAATGGCCCAGTTCTGACCACTTTTTCCACAAAGTGCCCACCAGAAGTTGAGGTTTTGATTGGGCCTCTATCAGTTCATTTTCACAGCATAAAAATCCTCATCCATATCACTCCACAACCATCTAGGTTCCAGGGAATACAAGCCTAACTATTATGATCTCTCCTCACAGCCAACCCCTAGAGTCCTGGTAACAGACTAGTAATTAAATAAAATCAAGAACTGCAGATTCTAGAAGCAAAACAGAAATTGCTGGAGAAAATCAGCAGATCTGGCAGAAAGTAGAATCAAGGTTTTGGATCCTGTGACTCTTCATTAGAAGAGTCTATGGAATCTGCACTGTACTCCTTAACAAGGTCAATGTATAATTTTCTAATGAACACTGTCTACAACATTAGTCAGTATGCCTTACATGGTCTGATAAGGTGGTCATACAGTTGTAGCAATATTTCTTCCCCTTCACAGTCCAGCCCTTCAGGATGTTCAAGGCTGACATCATCTTTGATTAAATTTGATATTCAATGACAACATTTTAGTGATCTCAGCATGAAGCCTGAATTTCTCTGGACTGTTAAATTGCTAATAATAGCTCCAATTGTTTACCTGTGCAGAGAGGGTCTTGTTCTTTTGGTTCGCTTCCTTCAACTCCTTTGCCGACTGCTGGAGCTCCTTACGCAGCTGTTCAGACTCCATGCGCAGGTCTGTGCACTCCTGCTTCATGGAGGTGAGCTGCTGTTCCAGGGCAGAGATATCCTTCCTGCTGGCCTCCAACTTCTGTGTCAGCTCAAGATTCAGCACCTTTTTGCTGTCGTAATGAGTCTTTGCTTTATCCAGCTGTTTTGATAGGTTAATATAAAAGGAGCACCATGAAACATACCGAGCAGTTAAAAAAAACGCAATCGTGTCCTAGTCACTCACTGTGCTTGCTAACCTACACTGGCTACAGTACTTTAATATTCTCGATTATGATCTTAAATCCCTCCATGGATACAGCCCTCCCTATTTCTGCAACCTCCTACAGTTCCACAATCTTTCAAAATAGCTATGTCCTTTCAATTGCTCGAGCATTTTTTACTTTAAATGCAGCTGGTGGCCTGCCTTCAACTACAACATCTCAAGGTCTACAATTCTCTATCCAAACATAACTTCTCTCTCCTCCTTTAAGACCTTCTATAATACTTCCCTAATACTTAGGGAAATGGGGTTAGCATGGACAGACATTTTGGGCCAAAGGGTCTGTCTCCGTGCTATAAAACTCAATGACTTCCTTAGCCAAGTTGTTAATCGCGTGTCTTAATGTCACCCTATTATGGAGCTCAGTACCCAAAGTTGGCTTTGGAATGATGGCTGTGAAACTCATTTACTATGTTAATGGCGGTATATAAATGCAAGTTGCTGTGGTTAAGCCCTCACAAACTACTCCCTTATGGGATGCTGAATCACATCAGAACATTAGACAGAACACCTGTGACATAAATGGGAGAGAGAAAAAGAACACGTTTCCATGACAATACACAGCCATGGCTAACTAATCAGTGGACAAACCTGGGCTTTGATGTGCTGCACAACCTCCTCCTTCTTCTCAAGCTGTGCATTGAGTTCCTCCACCTGCTGTTCCAGTTTCTCCTGCGCATCATTATCACGTGCCTACAGTTGCAGAACAAAGTTTGTGGTTAGATTAAGTTAGAGTGGACAGTCTGGAAATAGTCTCAGTAACAGACACAATCATCTTGAGTTATCTAATTCACTAGCAAAATCTGGTTTATTAGAAATCCAAATGTGAATGAGTTGCTGATTAATAAATTGAAGAAAGTAATAGTCAGAATTCTTGATCACAATAAGTATTAACAATAAGGAATTGCTGATCAATTGGAAAACTCTGAGTAACTGTTTATTTTGATTGTTGTGGCTATTTTACTTCGTTGGTTACTTAATACTGGTAGAGCAAAATAAAACACAGAAGGGTCAGTGGACTACAAGACCATAAGAAATAAGAACAGGAGTAGGCTGTTCAGCCCCTTAGGCCTGCACTGGATACTTTGGATTATGACTATTTCAACATTTCTGCCCTTTCCTCAATTTCCCTACTATTTCAAGAATCTGTCTCAGCCATAGCTCTCCATGGGAAGGAGTTACAAGACTCTCAACCCTCAAGAAGAAATTTCTCCTCATCTCAGTCTATGTTAGTGTAACTTTATTCTGAGACTATGCCCTCTGGTCTTAGACTCTCCCAAGAGGGGAAACATCCATTAAGCATTTACCCTGTCAACCACCTTGAGAAACCTATACATTTCAATTAGATCACCTCTAATTCTTCTAAACTCCACTGAGTAGAGTCCCAACCCGTTTAGCCTTTGCTTATAAAGCAAACCCTCCATACTACAAGTCATCCCAATGAACCTTTTCTGAACTGCCTCCAATGAAATGATATCTTCCTAAATGAGGAGGCCAAAGGATAGCAATGGCACAGAGGTATTATCATTAGACAATTAATCCGGAGAACTAGGTAATGTCCTGGGGATCTGGGCTCAAATTCTGCCATGACAGATGTTGGAATTTGAATTTGATAATAAAAAAATCTGAAATTAGGAGTCTAATGATGACCATGAATCCATTTTCAATTGTTGAAAAAACCTATCCAGTTCACTAATGTCCTTTAGGGAAGGAAACTGCTATCCTTACCTGATCTGGCCTACATGCTACTCCAGACCCACAGCCATGTGGTTGACTCAAACTGCCCTCTGGGCAATTGGGGATGAGACAAGCTGGCTTAGGCAGCGACACCCTCATCTCATGAATGAAACGAAACTGCTCGCAGTACTCCACATGTGGACTCACCAGCATCTTGTACAGTTAAAACAAGACTTCCCTGCTCTCATACACCAACCCGCTTGAAATAAGGGTCAACATTCTATTAGCCTTCCTGAGTACCTGTGTTTACCTGTTTTCTGTGTTTCGTGCAGAAGCCCAAGACCCTTGAAACATTAACACTACTTCCTCTTCAGATGCTGCCAGACCTGTTGAGTTTCTCCAGCAATTTGTTTTTGTTTGTTTAAGATTTCCAGTATCTGCTGTTCTTTGTTTTATATTACGACAGTGGTAGAGGTTTGTTAAATTAATACTAGTGTTATCCATGGCTTTCGCATCAGATAGTACTTTTGCATCAGAGTTGCGAGGTTCTGGGTTCAATTCTCACTCCATGAGATGTGCACAAAAGTCTTGGCCAACTACCGAGTGCATTACTGAGGGAATGTCACACTGCCAGTGACTGTGACTTTCAGATAAGATTGAGGCCCATCCTGTCCTCTTAGGCTGATGAAAAATATCCCATGGCATTACTTTGAAGGACAGAAGGGGAAAGTTCTCGTCAAACAAGACAAAAACAAGCCATCTAGTCATTATTACAATGCTGTTTGTTGCAGTTTGCCACGTACAAACTTGTTACCACATTTCCTATAGTGAATATGATCATAACTGTCTAATCGTCAGTGAAAAGCTTCAGAATGTGTTAAGGTTGTGAAAGGTGATATATAGATGTGGGTCTCTTTTTAATCGAAGAGTGTATTCACCTTAATTTTAATTAAAATTAGCATGTATGGTTAAAATGACATGTAGTTAATCAGTAGTTGGTAGGGACAGGCCTAACTTAAATGAAGGGGGCTTAGTGATGACAGATCCAACCAGTAGTCTTGAGTGAAGTAATTGATTTAGAGTCTTACCTTGAGTTTCTGCAGCTTACTTTTAGCTGTTGTGTCGTGCTGGGCCAGCTTCTGATTCAGATCCACCACCTGGAACAAACCAAACAGGTTCCCATTAAGAGGGAGATGATCTCTGGTGTTTTGTGGGTGATCAGCACCGGAATCAAAAGAGGACTCGGGCAGACCTCACAAATATAATTTCAAAACAGCAGGAGGTTATATTACATCAGATCTTGAGGGGAAAAAAATGGCTTGGATTTCTCTAGCATCTCTCATAGCCTGACGTCCCAAAGGTCAAAATGTAGTGTAGTGCAGTCACTGTTGCACAGTAGGAAGGGCAGCACTGATTTGCACATAGGAAGTCATAAATCAGCAATGCACAATGACCAGATAATCAGTCTTAGTAATATCAGTCATGGGATAAATATTGGCCAGGATACCAGGAAGTACTTCCCCAATCTTCTTCAAAATATGGGATATTTAGGCCGATTCAAGAGAGTACTCAAGCCCTCAGTTTGAAGTACTGGCCAAACATAGAACCTTCAACAGTACAGCCCTCTCTCTGTAACGTACAAAGGGCTATCAGCTTCAGTTGTGCATCCAAACTGAGTGGGATTTGGGCCTCAAACTTTTGACTTCAATTCAAGAGTGTCAGCTACCGATCCCACTCAGTCGGTTCCCACTTCATCAAGTGGACAGACTTGCAAATTCCAACAAGCCACACAGCAATGCTTGGAGGAAATTCTTGCTCCTCCTGATAGGCAACAAGATCAGGGCAAGGTACCCCACAAAATACAGCCCAACATGCCTTCAATGGTAGAACAAGCAAAGGAAGACTCCGCTTCTCACCGGCTGTGACGGCAGAATATGGCAGCAGCAGCATCATTATCCCAGTTATCATAGCTCACCATATCACCAAAACCCAACTGCTTATCTAATAAAGTTGTGTGGGCAATGGCACTACCCAGGTTCCATCATTTAAATTTTTTTTTTAAAAAATCACACGCAGGATCCATTTGCCACATCCTATGACATGGAGAATGGGCAAAGGGCTGGGAACTGGGGAGTCTGCCAAAAGTCTGTTATCTTGACAATGAGGCAGAACAGTAGCACAAATGTGAGGAAAAGAAGCAAATCCTCCACTTCAGATTGCACTATTTCGTGGGAATTCTGTCCCAGGTGCCAAAAGATCCTGGAATTCCCTCCCTCGGGACATCGTTGGTCAACCTACAGCGTGTGGACTGCAGCAGATCAAGGCGGCAGCTCACCACTGACTTTCAAAGGCAACTAGGGATGAGCAATAATTGCTGGCCCAGCCAGCAAGAGGTACATCCCACAAGTGAATAAAAACAAAAATCTGCACGTCAAGGACCAGCGTGTTCAGTCACATGAAAACCCACAGCAGAAACTCAATGCCATAAGTAGAGGTCACACTCAAACTGAGGGACAGCCTACAAACAACAATCCAACCAGCCATGCCTATTGCTACAAGTTTTGAAGCTAACACTGGGGAGGCAAAACATTGTTCCTGACTTTTCACTTTGGCCTGGATGGTGTCAAGGTTTTTGAGTGTTGTAAGAGCTGTACTTATCTAGGCAACAGGAGAGTATTCCATCATACTCCTGGCTTGTAGACTGTGGTCAGAGGACAGTTTTTGGGGAGTCAGGTGGAGAGTTATTCACTTCAGGATGGCTAGCCTCTTTTAGCCACTGTATTTATATGGCTCGTCCGGTTGAGTTTCTGGTCAATGTTAACGGCAAGGATGTTGATACTAGGAGATTCAATGAAAAGAATTCCACTGAATGTCAAGGGGTGATTTAGATTCGCTCTTGTTGGAGATGATCATTGACTAACACTTGTGTGGCATGAATGTTATGTGGCACTTGTCAGCCTGAAGTTGGATATTGTCTAGGTCTTGCTACATTTGGATGTGGACTGTTCCAGTATCTGAGAAGCTGCAAATAGTGATGAACATTGAATAATCATCAGCAAACATCCCCACTTCTGACCTTGGGATGCAGGGAAGGTCATTGATGAAACAGCTGAGGATAGTTGGGCCAAGGGCACTAAACTTGAGGAACACCTGCACGCCACCTTCTAGTTTAGTGATATTACCACTATGCCAGTGTCTTCAACTATTCACACACATGGCCATCTCTGTGAGAATGATGATGTTGTACGATGCTGCATTTCCTCCCTGCTAGCCAACACTCAGGGCCATCCACCTCCCTCAATTTTGTTAAGTCCTGTACAACCCAAACATCATTTCTCACTTCTAACTATTGGCCTTGGAAGGGGGAAATGAAAGGGAAAAAAAAAAATCAATAAAAAGACAAAGACAATTTCAAATTTTACAGACTAGAGTTGATAAACTTTTGTTAGATTAAAGTTTTCAGTAGCTATGTGGCAGAAGTGGAAAAATGGAATTGATATTTATATCAGCCATGACCTAACCAAATGGCAGACTTGCAGGGCTAAATAGATGACTCTTGCTCCAGCATTCTGGAAGACACAATAAAGTTACAATCACAGTACACAGTCAACCAAATCCAACACAAAGTCACATTTTTACCTTCTGGTTCTCTGCAGTCAGCTTCTTCTGCAGTTCTTCAACCTGTACAGAAAGGAGAGAGAAATCAAAATCAGGCAGAGCTCAATTTTTCAGCCATAAGTCCCAATTCCATAGAACAGAAAGCAGGTACAATTCAAGAATTATCAGAGAAGCAGGAAAGCTGATGTTTCGGGTCAAGACCCTTCTTCAGAAATTCTGAAGGCATAACCCATTTCTGAAGAAGGGTCTCGATCCGAAACGTCAGCTTTCCTGCTCCTCTGATGCTGCTTGGCTTGCTGTGTTCATCCAGCTCTACACCTTGTTAAACAGATTCTCCAGCACTGGCAGTTCCTACTATCTCTGTAACAATTCAAGAATTAGTACACAGAATGAGGCAAGGCCACTGGACTTGAATACACTACATATTTTCAAAGTTGCAGATTAGACAAGATGTGTTTGATGTTTCTGGAGATTCACTTGTTGGTCATCTTGGAGAGTTAGAAGTTAACTAAATTCACAACATGCACCAAGCAAATTAAAATTGAATCGGGACAGGTGTTCATCAATATGAACCCAAATAAGGAAAACACAGTGGTGGCAGCTGAAAAGTGAGACAAACCTCCAGGACCAGACTTGGTTTTCATCCCAGGACTTCAAATAAAATTAGTGTTAGTACTGCAAATGCCTCAACTATAACTATGCATTGTTCTCAACTCTGGAACTGCTGTTCTAGATTGGACAATTGCATGTAACTCCACTATTTAAGGTTAACAAGGGCTAATAATATTTCTTGTTGAGAAATTCTGAGCCTATAATTAAGAATAGGTTATAGGAACATAAATAAAGGAACAGGCTATTTAGCCTCTTGAGCCTGTTCCACAGCCAATGAGATCGTTACTGGTCTGTGGCCTAACTCCTTTGGTGCATCTCTCTTAATATCTTTGCTTAACAAAGATTAATCTATCTCAAATTTAAAATTATCAACCGATTCAGCATCCACTCCTGTTTTTGGAAGAGTTCCAAATAGCGATCATTCTGTGTGTACAAGTGCTTCTTAACATCTCTCCTGAATGGTCCGGCCCTAATTCTTAGACTATGTCCCCTGGCTCCAGAATTCCCAGTCAGTGGAAATAGTTTATCTTTATCCACACCATCTTTTCCTGACTGAAGAGCTTGAAGATTTTCAACTGATCAGATTGTCGCTGCAAACAACTGGAAATACAGATGATTTAGTGATAGTGGTTAATAGATGAAAATTGCCACAGCTGCTTTGGTGGTGGACAAAGCTGTTCAGGTGTGTCCGTCTGTCCGTCTTCTCTTCCCCTGGACCAGAAGATCCCTCTTGCTCTGGAAATGTGTTTAACAACCCTGAACAGGTTTGCTAAAATATACAGTTGTGTTTGATTGCATTTCTGGACTATAAAAAGAGAAAAGAGGAAAGGGTAGGTATCCTGGGTTCAAGACTCACCTGCCCCAGAAGGTGATTATAAACAAATGTGTAAAAAGGTAGGTCAGACTTGATAAATCATATTGAAAACTTCGATGAGCTATCCAAACTGGAGACGAAATCTGCAGATGTTATTTATAGATTCCCAGAAATTATTGCTAAGGATTCTCATAGCAGACTGTTAGCATGGATTTGACAAGTTAAATGATTGATCTAGAATCATGGAGTGAATCACAGAATTGTTACAGCACAAAAAGCTGTTTCTAGAGGAGCAATGTACCTAGTACCACTCCCCATCTTCACGCAGTAGCATCCTTCTTTTACAAATATTAATTCTATTCTTTTCTGAAAGCCTCAGTTGAACCTGCTTCCACCAGACTCTCAGGCAACACATTCTCGACTCTAACCATTCGCTGCATGAAATGATTTTCCTTCATGTCTGCATTACATTTTTTGTCAATTACTTCAAATCTGTACCCTCCAGCTCTAATTCTTCCACCAACTGAAACAGGTACCCTGCTGCCAGCATCCCCCCTCCAAAATATATACACTGCCAAGTGAATATTTTCTGCATCCACTCCAAACCTGTCTTTACATCCTTCCTAAAAGGGTATGCTCCCCAAACTGAATACAGTACTCTAGCAGAGGTTGAACCAGTGTTTTATGCAGTTTTAACATAACCTTGCTTTTTCACTAGCCACTACTGATGAAGCCCAGGAGTCTGCATGCTTTTTTTTTTAAAATGGCTCTCTTAACACCTGCTGAAACTTTATGGATCTTGAATTCATGCACACACACGCCCAGACTCTGTTCTTGCACCCCGCTTAGAAGTGTACCCACCTATATTATATTTCTCTTCCCATTTTCTTGCAAAACAAATTACTTCATATTTCTTGGCAATTAAATTTTATCTGCCATTTGTTTACCCTTTCTGACAACCTGTATGTCCTTTTCAAATACTATAGTTCCTCACAGTTAACAATACTTTCAACTTTTGTATAGATTGCAAAGGTCTACATCATCACTATTAAATCAAGAAAAACAAGTAAGATTTAAGGTTCTCGCGAAGATTTGTAGCCTGGGTTGTTGTTGAAATTGTTGGCTTGCTCACCAAGCTGACTGGTTATAGTTCAGACATTTCATCACCACGCTAGGTAACATCATCAGTGCGGTCTCCGATGAAGCAATGTTGTTCTATTCTGCTTGGTATTTATATGATCCAGTCTGTTAAGTTGGGTTGTGTCATTTCCAGTTCTGTTCTGCATGGGTTTGTACATGGGGCCTAATTCCATGTTTGTTGATTGCATTACAGGTCGAAAACCAGGCCTCTTGGAATTCCCATGCGTGTCTGTGGTTGGCTGAGACATGTTGTCACAGTTAAATTGATGGCTTTCATTGTCCGAGCACGCTGAGATGAGGGAAAGTTTGTCATGTCGTTTTGCTGCTAGCTGGTGTTCGTGTATCCTGATGGCTAGTTTCCTTCCGGACTGGCTGATGTAATGTACGTTGCAGTCATTGCAAGGTATTTTGTAAACTGTGTTGATCCTGCATGTCATGGGTATGGGGTCTTTGGTCCTTGTGAGTGTTTGTCGTAGTGTGGCTGTGGGTTTGTGTGCTACCATGATTCCTAGTGGTCGTAGGAGTCTCCTTGTCAGTTCTGATATGTTCTTGATCTCGGGTAATCTGGCCAGTGTATTGGGTCGTATTGTGTCCTCTTGGTGTTATCCATCTAGTAGGCACCTGCGGATGAAGTTGTTGGGATATCCGTGGTTAGCAAAAACCTTGTATAGGTGCTCCTCCTCGTTGCATAGTTCTGGCATGTTGCAGCACGTTGTTGCCCGTTGAACAGTGTCCTAACAACTTTGTTTGTGGACAGTGGGGTGATTGCTGTGGAAATTGAGGATTTGGTCAGGGTGGGATGCCTTCCTATATACTGTGGTTTGGAACTCCCCATTGATCATTCATTCTACCCCGACGTCTAGAAACAGAAAAGTCGATTGTTGTCTTCCTTTTCGCTTGTAAATTTGAGACCAGTGAAAACGTTGTTGATGAGATGGCACGTCTCTTCTAACTTGGTGTGTTTAATGCTAACAAATGTGTCATCCACATATCGGGTCCACAGCTTTGGTTGTATGAAGGGGAGGGTAGTGCATTCCAGTCTTTGCATGACTGCCTCGGAAGTAAGTCCTGAGATAGGTGACCCCATTGATTTGTTTGTATATTTGGTCATTGAAAAAATGAAGTGTGGGTGTGGCATTGGTCCAGTAGTCTGAATATGTTGATGATGGAGCTGTTTGGAGTCTGCATTCCTGCTGCATCCAGTAATGTGGCAAGTGTTTCTTAGCTTAGTGGTATGTCAATGTACGTGGATAGTTCTGTGATGTCAAAGGAGACCATAATCTTGTCGTTGTTGATTTTAATGTTCTTGAGATTGTTAAGGACTTCTTAGGTTGAGTGGATGGAGTGGGGTGAATGATCCATCAACCAGGTATTTCAGTCTCTATTGTAGGTCCTTCGCCAGTTTGTGTGTAGGTGTGCCTGGTAGGGAGACAATGGGTCTGAGGGGGATGTCTGGTTCATGTATTTTGGGTAGGCTGTAGAAAAGGGGTGGGGGGGTGGTGGTATTCGAGCCTTCTGGTTTCATTTTCATGTGGTCTGCCCTGGTTATTCTCAGAATTCTAGAACTCTTGGAAATCCTAGAGGCCTGGTTTTAAACCCGCAATGCAAGCAACAAACATGTGGAATTAGACCCCATACACAAACCAATGCAGAACAGAACCAGAAATGACACAACACAACTTAACAGACCTGATCATATAAACACCAAGCAGAGTAGAACAACATCGCTTCATCCGATGCTGCACTGATGATGTTACCTAGCATGGTGACGAAATGTCTGTATGATAACCAGCCAGCTTGGCGAGCAAGCCAACACCCGCAGCAAGGTCCTAACCCCTGGGTTACTTCACTATAAACATTCCTGCAGTCTGAAAAAACCCACCATTACTCCCCTTTCCTGTCATTCAGCCAATTCTGTTGCTACTGTCTGTTTTAGTCAGGAGCTCTAACTTGGCTCACAGCTGTTGTGTGGTTCTTCATCAAATGGTTTTTGAGATGAACAGTAGGGATAATGGGCAGGTACTCGAATTGACAGAACTTGACTTGCGACTTCCTGCAACAGAATTATCATATTAACTGATTGCGTTTTTTTAAAAAACACATTCTTTCTCGGGGCGAGCGTGTCACTGGTAAAATCATTTGCCCATTACTAATTACCCTTGAACTGAGTGGCTTGGTAAACCACTTCAGAGGGAAGAATCAAGCGCATTGCTGTGGGTCTGGAGTCACGTGGACGAGACCAGGTAAGAACAGATTTCCTTCCTTAAAGAACATTTGTGAACCAGATGACTTTTGCAACATTGACAGTCTGCTGTCATTGAATCTAACTCTCCAAAGGTAGATTTTAAATCCCATCAATAAATCAAGTGGCGATTTGATCCCACCTCCCCAGTGCCAAGACCTCTGCATGAACAGTTCAGTGACATGATCACCATGCCATTGCTTCCCCCATATATTAATATGGACTGTATTTATTATGGTTTGTGTGGTGAAATAGGGATGACAGGCAAGAACATGGCAAATGGGGTGTAATGTGGAAAAATGTGAGGTTAACCACTTTGGCAAAAGACACAAACAAGAGAATAAAACCACACTGGTCAAATGGGCACACGTGTCACGTAATGCATTTGGAAAGCAGTACAAACAAAACCTTTGAATTTTAAAAAGGAGGTTGTAGGAATAGAGAACTTGATTAGAGAAGAAAAATAAACAGATTTATTTTAAGATTTTAATACGTAGGAGCAGACCAATGAGATCATGGCCGATCTGACAATCCTCAACTCCACTCTCCTGCCTTTTCTCCGTAGCCCTCAATTCTGTTACTGATTAAAAATCTATCCCAGCCTTGATTGTACTTAAAGACCTGTGACAGCTCTCTGTGAGAAAGTGAACCTGTGGAATTCTATCCTCGGAGACGGAATTCCTCATTGATCGTAAACATGCAACCCTTTATTCTGAGATAATACCCCTCTGCTCCTGGATTCTCCCACAAGAGAAGACAACTTCATTGCACATACTGTCAAGTTGTCTAACAATCTTGTTGTTTCAGTTTAATACAGAACAACTATTTACCTGTGCGTTCAGCTTTTGCTGCTCATCTTGAAACCTGCGTCGCTCATCCAGGACCATGAGTTTCGTTTTCTCATACTTGCTGGTCGCTTCTTCCACTCTTTTCTGGCTCTCGTCTTCTTTTGCTTTGCTGGCAGCCTCCTGCTCAGCATGGCAAGATTTCAGGTGGTTCAGCTCTTTGGCATGTGCCTCCCGGGCCTTGGCCAGTTCAGCCTCCAGTCTCCCATAGGCCAAGACAGATTCGGAGCTCAGCTGGTTGCTACTCTGCTGGAGTCGCTGTATCTCCTGCTCTTGCTCCTTACAGCGCTCCTTCAAAGATGGCAGCTGCCTGGTCTCCGCCTTCAACTCATTCAGCAGCTTCTTCTGCTGCTCAAGCTCTTCCTGGCGCTGTGACTCAGCTGCCCGCATTGCAGACTGGACCTCTCCCAACTGGCCACGCAACTGGAGCAACTCCTGTTCCATCTGGGCACTTCGTTCTCTGTCTGTTTGCACCTGGCGTTCTAGTGTTGCTTCTGCTAGTCTCCTAGCAGCTAGTTCCTCCTGAAGCCTTTCAGCTGCCTGTTTTTGAGCAGCAATCTCCATTTTAAGGGATGCGTTCTGGAGCTTTGTTGCTTCTTCCGTCGAGTCTCTCTTTTGTGCCTCAGAGGCTTGCTCTGCCCTCAAAGCATCCATGGTTTCCTGTAGCTTCCTGCATGCTTCTGCTTGTGCTGCCACCTTATCTCTCAGCTTCGCATTTTCCTTCTGCTCTTCTGAGGATTTCAGCTGCCAGGTTGGGATTTCCAGCTCAAGGGCGCGAACCTTTTCCTTCTGCTTCGCAAGTTCTTCCAGGTGCAGGGACACTTTTTCCTTCAAGGCCCTTTCCATTGACTCTTTCTCCTTCAGCAAGCCACGGACTAACGACAGTTCTCCCTGTAGCGCTGTCACATGCTCATGGCTGTGAGAACCTTGCGCTGTTTTCTCCGTCTCCAGCTGGGCAATGATGCCCTGTTGTCCTTCACACTTCAGCTCCAGTTCAGCTACTTGTGATTTCAATGCCTCAATATTGCTCAGCCTTTCTTGGCAGAGGTTGCGGGATGCGGAGAGCTCCTTTTCAACGGAGTCCATTTGCTGCTTGTGCTGTCGGACTGCCTCATCACCTGCTGCCAGTTTGGACCCAAGCTCACTTAACTCCTCCTCCTTCTTACTCAAGACCTCTGCATAACGCAGCATCTCCCTTTCCTGGCTGATGATCTTCTCCTTCATGCTTTTCATGGTTGATACCTCTGTTTGGAGTTCATTGATCTTGGCTTGCTGGTGTCTGCTCTGCTCCTGCCATTTCTCAATTTCACCCCTCATCAGTTTCTCCTTGGTCTCCACTTCCTCTCTGGCGGTGCGGGCACTAGAGACCTCACTCTGCAGAGCCACGAGGCGTTCTTGCTGCTCACTGAGAGACTGCTGCAACCTAGCCTCCACCTCAAGCTTGCTCGCCCTCTCAGCCTCCAGTTCTACCTTGGCTGCATCTTTTTCCTTGGACAGTTTGTGCCGCTCTTCCTCCACCCTGGCCAGGCCCTCGGACTGGGATTTCCTCAGCTCTGCCAGCTGGCTGTGCAATGTCCCAACCTCTGCGCGAAGCTCCTCGCTCTGTGCTGCATCCTCTCTTGCCACTTGTCGTGCTTTGGCAAGATTAGCCTCCAGCTTCGAGATTTGGTCCTGTTGCTCACTGCTGTTCTGGCTCACCCGCTCCTCAAGGAGAGCCACCTTTTCCCTTGCCTCACTCAGCTCCTTCTGTATTTGGTCTCGCTCATGCGAGTTTCGCCTGTCCTCCTCCTCCATCTGTGACAGGCGCTGAGATGCTTCCTTCTGAGCAGTCTCAAACTTCTCCTGCCAGCTCAACACCTCAGCCCGAGCCTGGTCTCTCAAAGTTTCTTCTTCCCTAATTTGTGACAGCGCATTGCAAAGTTCCTTCTCCAGTGCTGAGGCCTTGCTCTCTTCCTCATTATTCAACTGGTTTATCCTCGCCTCAAGCCCATTGCTCTTGGCCTTTTCTTCCAGCAGCTCAGCTTGGACTTTCTCCCGTTCTTCCTTTAAACATGCAATAACCTCATTTCCCTGAACTTGTTTTTGTTGAATCACCTCAAACTTTTCCTTCCAAGATGCTACGGTTTCATGAAGCCTCACTTCTTTCTTCTCTTTCTCCTCAACCATCCTCAGGGCATCAGAAAGCTCACTCTGCAGTATGCTGCACCTTTCCATCTGTTCATCCACGGTCTGCTTCATTTCAGCCCCAACCACCTCCTGACGTTTTAATTCTTCGGCTAACTGGGCTCTAACCTGATTACGTTCCTCTGTAAGCCCCTTCACTTCATTTGCCAGTTGGGAACAGCGCTCAGCTTCTAGGGTGTTCCCCTCTTCCCATTGTTTCTTCTCATTTTCTAATGCTTCTATTGTCCCCTGCAGGGAACTGAGCTGCTCCTGAAGGGTCTTGACATTTTGAGCGCTCGCATCAAGACCTGCCAATCTGCTCTTATGCTCCTGTAGTGCGCCTTCAGTCTCCTGCAACCTCATCTTAAGAGCTGCAACCTCTTCAGCATGTCTCTGATTGTGGGCTTCACAAGCCAATTGGAGGCTCTGGTTTTTGGAGTCTGCCTCTGCAGCCTCAGAGCTCAATTCTTTTACCTTCTGTGATAAAGTGTCCCTCTCGCTCCTTAGGTTTTCCACTTCCGACTGGTTACTTTTCAAAACCTGAATCTCTTGAGTGACAAGGTTCAGTTCAGCCTCCTTCTCAGCCTTTAATGTCTCATACTGAGAGATAATGGAAGCCTTCTCGTTATTGATCTTCTGGGATTCTTCCTTCAGGGTGGCCACTTGCTGTGCCATGTTCTCTCGCTCAGCGCCCACCTCTTTCTCAAGTGTTCGCAGTGCTTCTTCTTTTGTCCGCAGGGCTTCGCTGAGCGTCTCTACCTTGGAGTCAAGATCAAGGACGGTTTGCTGGGCTGCTCTCTCTTTGCTTTGAGAATCATCAGCCAGCTGGCGCCTCAGTTTCTTCTCCTCTTCCAATTCCAGGTCCTTTTGCATCAAGGAATTGTTCAGCTTCATGATCTCCACATTCAATGCATCCAGCTGCCCAGTGAGCCTATCTTCCTGAACCCGGGCAGCTTGCTCCAGCTGATCCTTCTGTTCGACCAGTTCACTGATGGACTGCTCGAGGCTACGAATCGTCTCAGCAAGTCGGCTTTTCTCCTCTTTGTGAAGGGAGCTTTCTTGCTCCAGTTCTGCAGTTTTGGCTGTCAGCTGTGATACTTCCGTTTTAAGAGCCTCCAACTGCAATGACAGAAGATTGGGAGATGAAATAAGTCAAATAAGGCAAAACTTTAATTGATTGCATTCCTTCAAATAACAGATTAAGGGGTGATCTAATCAAGATGTTTAAAATGATTTGATAGGGTACAGAGAGATACTACTTCTGCAGCTGGGGTGCATCTGCCAATGAGGAAGGAAGGCAGCATCTTAATTAGCTAGACCGTCATGCGGGGTGATGTCAGGAAGCACTCCTTCACACAAAGGATCATGGATATCTGGAATTATCCTCCAAAAAGCTAAAGTTGTTCTTCAATGCAAATCTTTCAAAATGCTACAGGTTTGTCACCAAAAACTGCTCTGTCGCAATTCTATGATTCGGTGACTTCATGCAGCACAATTTCTCATGTTTTGTACGAAGCAACTTACCTGGAGAATGTCACCCATGACCTCTCCTTTCATCTCAGTGGAACTTTCCCCAGCTGCCTTCAGCTGATCCTCCATTAAGGAGACTTTTCCTTCCAGGATTTGTACTTTTTCTTCCAACAATTTCTGTCAAGTACCAAAGAAAAACCCAAAAAAGGAAACATTTAAAAACTAAAAATTAGCCCCAAAAAAGTGTAGCACCCAATAACATTGCATCCTAAGAAACCAGAAAACAAAAGTCATGACTGAATTCAGGTGATTCCTTAAATAACTATACACTTATATAGCATTTTTCACATCCTCAATACTTTTCATCAGAACAGAAGGTGGCAAACTACACTTATACAGCATCTTTAAAATATTGAACAATTCATAGAACAGTATAGAAGCATCATCAAAACAGAACCACATGCAAAAATATTACGGTGGATGATAGACGTTTTGTCAGAAAGTCAGGATTAAAGGATCGGCTTAGAAGGACAAAAGAGAGGTGGCTCCAAGTATAGAGCCTCAGCATCTGCAAACACAGCCACCAATTGCAAAGAAATTGAGGTCAGGAATGCACAAGAAGCCAGATTGGTAGTTTGAGAGGCTGGAGAATATTATGGAGAGAGAGAAAGACGCTGCCTTATCTGCACCTCGATTTGGATTTCAACTCACTTCACACTCAAAGAAAGCACTACTACAGATAAAAACCAAAAGTAAACCAGCTGAGCTTTTCCAGCAACTTTGTTTTTGTCACTACTACAGATGCTGCGTTGTAGGTGAGTGTCTAGCGCAGCAAGAATCCAGAAACAGCAAGCAAAGCAAATGGCCACAATCTGATGCTTGAGGGAATGATTGAGTGTAGAATGTGGGCAATCAAGAGTGAGAAATAGTTCTGTATCCCTCATTAGAAATCTGTTGTTTCAGTCTCAAAAGTCCTTCAGCTGAGTCCCAGCTTTCACAGCCACTCGGGGAAGAGAGAATTCCAGATTTCCACTCCTCTGTGTGAAAACGTGCACCCTGATATCATCCTTAAACTTTTAAGTTTAAATTAATTATTAAATTTAATTATTAATAATTAAAAATTTAAAGGTAATGCTCCTTGATCTTGAAACATTTCCCTTTCTACCCTATTGAACCCTGTACCATTTTAAGCACTTGCATCACATCACATTTCAGCTAAGCTAAAATCAACACAGACTTTATTTATATGATTCATTGCCTCAATTTAATTTTTCAAATCCTGGTAGTCTCTGATACTGCAATCTATATAAAATTTTACCACTACATCTAGTTATACTTTACGAATAACTGCTCACTTCCTACCACCACCTCCCCAGGACTGTTCGGATTACACTGTTGCAAATAATTCTTACCTTGTCCGAGAGCGTGATACAAAGGTCACTCTCCAGCTGCTTCTGCTTTTCTTCCCAAAGGGGTACAGCTGCCTCGTGCTCATCTGCTAGCTCATTCAGGGCCTTCTGGGACTGGGCCAGACGACTGCTCAAGTCACGAACCTGTGGCATAAGACACACACAGAAGAGTCTCACTACACTCCCAAGGCATCTGCTGACTGGGGATGACTGACTTTGTCATTAAGTGGGAGGAGCAACAGAAATACCAATTCCTTATCAAACCAGTGACCATTCACCTCTGCCACAGGATATACTGCTGAGGTCTCCCAGGATCAACAAGCAATGACAGAGTTGTCAAATGACGACAACCAATCAGCCCACAATCGGAAAATTGACCTGGAGGATTTTGGCTGCCAAAAACAAGGTACACTTGGTTAAACAGAACTATTCTGAAGAAGGATCACTGACTCAAAACCTTAACTCTCCTTTCTCTCCACAGATGCTGCCAGACTGGTCAAGTTTCCCCAGCAATTTCTGTTCTTGTTTCAAATATCTCTCAATGTGCCGCAACAGTGAACAATTTAAAAGTAATTGTGAACACTGACTGAAGTAGCAAAACTGATTACCTCTTCAGCACACAATGAATCCTAATCAACATAAAGAAAACCTTGTCAACTGCTGAATCAATCAAGCTCCATCTGCAAACATAAGTAGTTAACACTAAGAAATAAAAATACTTTAAATATACTGACACATCACATCACTAAATTAAACCTTCACAATGAAGCAGGCAGACTCTGCATTAATCTGCAACAAAGTCTCACAAGTGACAAATTCGCCTGCTAGTGACCACACTCTTTCAGCACTGCTCTACAGCATCAGTCTGAATTATGTATTCTAGTCTTTACAGTGGGACTAGAACCCATGACCCTTTCAGACACCAAATATGAATGGGTTATAACTGAGCCAAGCTGACATTAAAATGAGAAACAGACTGACAAACACATTAGGACTGTGCAGTTTTCATTCTTGAATGGGATATGCATATTGCTGGCCAGGTCAGCATTTATCAACTACCTCTAACAGCCCTTCAGAAGGTGTTGAGCTGCCTTTTTGAATCAATGCAACCTACAGTGCGGTCAGGAAGGAATTTCAAGGATTTTGACCTTGTAATTTTTGAGGAACACTGATATTGCTCCAATTCAGCATGGTGCACGACTTGGAGAGAAACATGCAGGTTGTGGTGCTCCATGTGGCTTCGTTCAGAGGCAGAGCAGGCTCAAGGGACTAAGTGGATTGATTACTCCTGCTCCTAACTAGTTTGTCTGACAGGAAGAATAGATCTGAAGTCTTTCTCCCCCCCACCATAAATCCTTTCTCAACTCCGTTAAAGATTCATTTACTTTTTTGAAAATGCAGTTTTGGACATGTGCGTCACTGGCTGGGGCAGCATTTATTGCCCATTCCTAATTGCCACTGAGAAGGTGGCAGTTAGCTGCCTTCTTGAACTGCTCCAGTCCATGTGCCTCAGGTAGAGCATTCCAGAATTTTGACTCAGCAACATTGCAGGAACAGTGATATATTTCCAAGTCGGGATGATGAATGGCTCAGAGAGGTACACTCCGGTGGTGATATTCCCACATATCTGCTGACTTAGACTTCAATTATGTCTTGGGCATGGATTTGGAAGGTGCTGTGTAATTTTCTACATTATACTATTTCAAAAGTCCTTTACTGGGTATAAAAGTACTTAGGGATGCTCTGAAATTGTGAAAGAGGCTTTGGAAAGCATTTTTTTTTAAAACCTTCTACTGCCCCTAAGGCACAAGTCTTAAAAATGTATGGCAGCAATAGATCCACCCAAGGACACTTCTTTCAAGAATCAGGAAACAATAGCACAATAACTAAAAATTATACCTTGTATGAAAGATCTCCATTTTCTTCTTCAAGCTTATCGATCTTTCTTTCTGTTTGGTTTTTCTCAGTTTTCAGATCCTGGCACTGCTTCTGAACATCACGCAGTCGATTTAACAAACTGGGTCGAAGGGGAAGGTTTTCAATGGTTAAAGCACTCAAAAAATAAATAGGCAAACCAACAGCAAAATAAAAATACCTTCAAAAGGTGGGAGCCTATGACTTTTTCTTCTTCACTCCCCCTCTACCCTGCAACCGCCCCCAATGCCAGGAACCAAAGAAACAAAACTGTAAATAAAATCCATCAACCATTGGACCAAGTGGGAGAAACATCAGGCCTAGGACCCCGTGCAATATCTCAACTGTGCCACTGAATACCAGCACAGAGCAAAGGGCATAGTAACTGAAAGGAACTCTCCTTACTTCTAACTGCCACATTGGGATGCACGATTGGACACTTAGAAACTCAGATATTGAAGTCAAAGCTTTGGGTTTTAAAAGCTGGTAGGGTGGAAGAGGGAACTGATACCACTAAATGGCTCATGGTTGTCCAGTTTGCACAAGAAGAACAAACTAAAAGGTGGTGAATTAAGGGTAAAAAAAAAAAAATCAAGCTTCAAGTTTTATGTCTGAGGATTAGGATGGAAAAGCAGAGAAGTTACATTAAATCTGCAAAATCTTGACGGGGCCACATAGAGTACTGTGTCTCCATATTAAAGGGAGGATGTGAAGACACTTGGAAGAGGTGCAAACTTGATTCACTATAAAAATATCAGTATGGAGAGGTTACGCTGATCAGGAAATAGTGAACAAGCTGAAGCTCTTTTTTCTAGAGCAAGGAAGACTGCAGAGTAACGCAATCAATGTTTTTACATAATGAAAGGGGTTGATAGGGTACGCACAGAGAAAATATTTCAACTCATGCATGAGACCATTAAATGTCAATTAGTTGTAATAAAACTCAAGGGATATTTAGAAGCTTTTACTTTTAACACGTCTAGAAAGTGGTCAGAATGTACAACTTGTTTCACTGAATGCATCCATTGTGTTCATCTTAAAGGGAAAGCAAATAAACAAGGAGGAAGGAACCGGATGATAGGATGAGATGGAGGGTTGTAAGCAGTTTGCACGATGCATGAGTACAGACATGAACCAGGGAAGATAAGGCCCCTTTTCCATACTGTAAATACTACATTACTTATGTACTCCCCTCTGATCACCATATTAGGGTCCCGTGAGCTGTTCTGTGCTTTCCTGCCTTTAGAAAAGATTTCAGGACTGCAGGGATACCTTTCATATTTATCCCTCATATTGCTGAGTTCATCAGAATCCTCCTCGCTGGTCTGTTTCTCAGTCAGTTTCACGAGACGCTCAACCTTCTGCTGCATGATTGAGATCTGTGTTTCTAGTGAAAGAGAACAAGGAAATCACAGAGGCAGCATGAAGGTAAATCTTCTCCACTTGCTTACAATTAGCTCTGGTGTTGGCAATCCCCCTCCCCCCAAGTCAACACTATCACCTGCACTAACCACTCTCATTCAAAGGGTCAGTAATTCTCAACAAAACAACTATAGCTCACACAATGCAGTAATCCCACTCCCCTCGCCAACCCTGAGGGCTGCTCATCTGACCATGCAGCACTCGCTCAGTGCTGCACTGCAAATGTCAGACTGGATTACAAGCCCAAGACTCTGCAGTGTGTATGAACACAGGACCTGCTGGCTTACAGGTGAGCGCTGCCCACCTGAGCCATACTGAGTCCTGTTTAGAGAATAGATATATATGAAAGGGAGAAATAATTACCATTTATACAATACCTTTCATAATCTTGAACTATCCCAAAGCAGTTTTATAGCCAATGAAATACTTTCAAAGTGTAGCTACTCTTATAATGTAGGAAACACAGAAACCAATTTGAACACAAGTTCCCATGACCATGATAAAGATGATGGCCAAAATACTTAAACTGAAAGATAAACATTTGACAGAACATCAGGAGAGTTTGAATGATGCTGGTAGGATCTCTCATGTCGACCTGAGAGCAAAGACTTGGTTTAATGTCTCATCCAAAAAAGTAATATTGCAGAATATTCTCATTACTGACTCAGTGTGTTAACCTGTGTATTTTGGTATTCATTCATAGGATGTCAGCATCACTGGCAAGACTAGCATAAGATAACCCTTTTCAAGATCATTTAACGATGGGTAAGATTCAACCCTGTGCTTTGGGTCTAAGGTCACGTGAATACCAAACCAGATAGGAATGGCAGGTATCCTTCAGTAAGGGATACTAGTGAACGAAATGCATTCTAATGACAATTGATGACAATTTCATTGTTATCATAACAAAGACCAGCTTTCAATTCCACATTTTATTCAGTGAATTTAAATTCCACAAGCTGCGACAGCGGGACTTAAGCCTATGATCCCACAACTTTGGCCTAGCCCTAGATTTTGTGCTCAGGTTGCTGAAGTGGGTCTCACTCAGAGGTAGGAGTGCTACTCACAGAAGTCACCAAAAAATATAATCGTGAAAAGAGTCACAATCAAATCCAAGCCACGTTTATGCACAACCTGGGGAGTTACCAGATGAACGTGCCAGAGAGGAGCAGTCCATTGGGTGGATTCATTCATTCTCCTCCTCTTCTTACTCCTGAGCCGAGGTTTTTTAAATTCATTTGTGGGATGGGGGTTGTCACTGGCTGGGTCAGCATTCACTGCTCATCCCCATTTGCCCTTGAGAAATTGGTGGTGAATTGCCTTCTTAAACTGCTGCAGTCCATGTACTGTAAGTAGACCCACAAAATTATCTCCTCAACTGGTTCATAGAAACATAGAAAAAGGAGTTGATGTAGGCCATTCAATATGGCCATGGCCAACCATCCATCTCAGTACCCTGTTCCTGTTCTCTTCCCATACCCTTTGATCCCTTTACCCCAAAGGACTATATCTATCTCCGTCTTGAAAAGATTTACTATTTGGGCCTCAACCACTCTCTGTGGCAGAGGATTCCACAGGAGAGGGAAATTCCTGCATCTACCCTGTCTAGTCCTGTTAGAATTTTATAGTTTTCTATGAGACCACACTCATTCTATAGTCCTAACCAATTCAGTCTTTCTTCAAACATCAGTCCTCCCATCCCAGGAATCAGTCCAGTCACTAATGTCCCTTAAGGAAGGAAACTTGCCATTCGTTCTCAGTCTGGGTCTATACGCATGTCAACAGAGTCAACTGTAAACTTCCTTCTGAACTGTTTAGCAAGCCACTCAATTATAATCAAACAGTTACAAATATTGACTGTAAGGAAGCTCACCACCACCCTCTCAGAGCAACTAGCAATGGGAAACAAATGCCCAGCAACACCAATGTATCATGAATGAGAATGTAAAAAGAAAATGCAACGGCTCAGTGACAGGGCCGTTATCAAGTCTCTGTTTGGTTGTCATTTGCGCTAGTAGACACAACGTCTGTGCCAACTATCATTGATTCAGGATGATTACAGTACACACCAGCTACAAGATGCACTTCAGCAGATCCCCAGCCCTGTAACCACCATTAGTGAGGACAACAAACAAGAGAATGCTTTGGGAATACAGTCACCTCAAGACTCCTCACTCACATTGCACAAGCAATACATCCAAAGAAACCAATCTGTGGGGGAATGTAATTTCTGTTACCTTTCTCGGTAAGCAACTTGCGGGCTTCTGTCAGCTCGATCTCCAAATCATCACGCAGTGTTCGTGCATCTGCAAGCTGTCTCTTCATCCGCCGCACCTGGACTAATGGGGTCTGCATGAAGTCCCGCATGGGTGACGTTGGAGAGTTAGATGGTGCAGAACTGCAAAAAAATGGAAGCATTGAGATAACAACCACAAAAACATTGCAGACCCTTTCTTTAGATCTTTGAGCTAATAAACTCTGTTCATTTGGAACCGGTAAATACCTAGAATAGCTCTCAAGTAAAACAGTGATTCACAACATTCACAGTCTCCAGCACTCGGCAGCCAAGTTTGAGACACAGCAGAGTGAACAGTCAGCTATACAAGATGGCAACTATAACATGTTAACAATTTTAAAAATGAGTTCAGCTCCAGTTATTTGATCATGGATGCCTGACGAACAAAACTTGTACCGTGACAATAGCTGAAAAATAAATGGAAGTGGGAAATTCATAAAAAGAAGTCTCAAATAATAGCAGGGCTAAAACAGTTCAAGTACAAAAACAGTTCTCACATCATTGCTATGCGTTCAAATCATGTTGGAATCATCCTGAACATGGAAAATCACTTTCGACCATCTGTTGCAAGACTTCTGGGGAGGTTAATATGTGCTGTGGACAAAGGGGAACCAATGGATGTAATGTCCTTGGATTTCTAAATGGTGTTTGATAAGGAGCCCCATAAAAAGTTATTGCACAAAATAAAAGGTCAAACGTGTATAGGGTATCACTTTTTTTTAAATCATTCGCGGGATGAGGGCTAGGCCAGCATTTATTGCCCATCCCTAAATGCCCAGAGGGCAGTTGAAAGTCAACCACAGAACTGTGGATCTGGAGTCACATGTAGGCCAGACCAGGTAAGGATAGCAGTTTCCTTCCCTAAAGGGTATTAGTATGGGCCTTCTCATTCTATTTCCATATTGGCATGGAAAGATAATTGACTGGCTAAAAGGAAACAGTAGATGTAAATGGGTCTTTTTCAGGTTGGCTAGATGTAAAAAGTGATGCGCCACAGGGAATGGTGCTAGGACCTCAACTGCTTACCATTTATATACATGACTTAAGTGAAATGACTGAAGGTATGGTTGTTAAGTTTGACGACACAAAGATAGGTAGGAAACCAAGCTGTGAAGGGGCAAGGTGGTTATAAAAACAAACTGATAGGTTAAATGTGCAGGCAAAAATGCGATAAATGGAGGAGGGGGAAATACGTCATATTGTCTATTTTGGCAGGGAGAAGCATATTACCTAACTGTCGAGATATTACAGAGCTCCAACCTGCAAATGGATCTTGGTGCCCTATGCACAAACCACAAAACGTCAGCATGTCAGCACAGCAAATAATTAGAAAAGTTAATGGACTGTTATCACGTATCACAAGGAAAACTAAAAGCAAAAGTTGGGAGGTTATGTTTCAGTTATACAGGACACTGGTGGGCCTACAACTAGACTACAGTGCATAGTACTGGTCCTTATTTAAGGAAATATGTAAATACATTGGAAAGAATTCAGAGCAGGTTTAATAGACTAACACCTGGAATTGGCAGGTTGCCTTATAAAGAAAGGTTAGATAGGCTAGCCTTGTACCTGCTAGAGTTTAAAAGATTAAAAGGTAGATTGGTTGAAAGAAAATCCTGAAGGTTCTTGACCAGTTAGCTGTGGACAGCATCCAGGGTTGTCCATTTAAAAGAGATAAGGTGATTTTTCTTCTGAGGGTCACAACTGTTTGGAACATCTGAAAACATGGTGGAAGCAGAATATTTTCAAGGCAGAGAAACAAAAGGGTAAAGCTAGTTGTCTGTGAAAAGCTGACCGAGAGTAGACGCTGGAATGCAATTTCTAGAAAAGTACAGTCCCAATTCAGAGACTCAAATGTGAGCAGTCATTGAGGCAGTCCACGGTTGAGTAGCTCAAGAATATTCTGAAGTTACACCTTTGAAGAGAAGAATTTGGAATCTCTTGTACAATTTTAATGATTCACCATGTCACTAATGGCTGGGGGATTGCTGAGAAATCCATGCCATCTGTCATGGCTGCATTTGTTTTCTGATGTGCTCTGGGGGGTGCTTGACCACAGAGTGTCTGTTACCCATATTTACCTCAGATCATATTTCAACAGCGGATTACAATTAAGTGGCAAACATATTGATGATCGTATCACTATCCTCGTCTTGTATTGTAAAGTTTACTGTTTGATTGAAACTATGGGATCCTGTGGCTTTCATGGCTTTATCTTATCAAGCATCTGGGGTCTCACTCTTTGCTTACGTTAAAATGTAACTGGTACCCCAGCCAACTGTAACATAAATTTGGCCATTTAGTCTGGAATCCTAACAACTGGTGTTAGTAAATATGAAATAAAGGAGTTAGCATGAAAATCAGCCATGATAAAATAGAGAGGCTAAACAGTCTACTCCTGTTCCTATTCCTCGTATAACTGAATACTTTAATATTGACAATATATACAGGCAATGATTTTTCCTTTAAGTACAATACAACAGGTTATTTTAAATGGTGGGAGGCAGAGTGTGTCTAGGACACCAGAATCATGTCAGAGTACTGACCTGTACACACTGGATGCTAAAAATTTTGTTTTATGCCCTCCAGTTTTCTCACAGAATGTTGGCGAATCAGTCTCATCTGAACTGGCGCTGAATAAACGGGCGACTGGAGATGTGGCTAAAAAAGGATAAAGTTAAAAATAAAACATTAAAGAAAGTCAAGCTGAGGTTTTTAATTTTGCATTCTTGTAATCTCTTGAATAAGGAAGTTTAATTGGTATTGAGGTTTATGGGCCTTTGAAGGAAGCAGATAGTGTGGCAGAGAAAATGGGACAGGGGGCTAAACAAAGAGGGGCAGAGTCATGAAGTAAAGGGAGTGGAAATCTAAAACACCTTCTCTCCCAAAAAGCTGTTGAGCCTTGGAGAAAGTCAACAGACAAGTTCAAAACAGAGACAGATAGGTTTTCATTTAAATTAATTTCACTTAAACTGAGAAAAACTGCAGGAAGCTACAACACAAAAGGGACTTGGGGGTACTTGTGCATGAGACACAAAGCTAGCACACCAGGGTGCAGCAGGAAATCAGGAAAGCTAATGAAACATTGGCTCTTATTTCAAAGGGGGCTGGAGTACAAGAGTAGGGAAGTCTAACTGCAAAGTGCTAATAAGACCACACCTGGAGTAGAGATCAGTTTTGATCCCCTTATTTAAGGAAAGACATCATTTCATTGGAGGCAATTCACAGAAGGTTCACTAGGAAGATCCCTGATATGGAGGAATTGTCTTTTGAGTAAAAGGTTAAACCGGTTTGGGCACTCAACAACAAAACAAAACCAGGAACTGCGGATGCTGGAAATCCAAAAGAAAAACTGAAATTGCTGGAGAAACTCAATTAGTCTAGCAGCATCTGTGGGGAGAAAGCAGAGTTAATGTTTCATGTCCAGTGATAACTGACTGTAGCTAGGAAAAGGTGGGATGTGTGTTGAAGATGAAATGACAGGAGGCAGAAAGAGTAAATGATAGGTGGAAATAGAGCCCAGACAGCAAGCATACTGGCTGTTGGGCAGGCAAAGGAATGGGTAATAGTCAGCCTGGGGGAATCAATAGCTGCTAATAGGGACCAATAGTAGCTGACAATGGGCCTAAGCATCTTCTTCCATGTCCTATTCCAATTTTAATGGGATGTGAGAGGATGTTTCCCTTCATGGGAGAGCCTAGCACCAGAGGGCATAGTCTCAGAATAAAAGGGTTACAATTTAAGGCTGAGATGAGGAAGAATTTCTTCTCCCGAAGAGTTGTCTCTCTTTGACACTCCTTGTCACAGAGAGCTGTGGGAGCAGAGTCCTTGCTTATATTTAAGGGCTGATATTGATAGATTCATGATCAGTAGGAGACTCACGTGTTATGGGGAAAGGGTGGGAAAGTGGATATGAGGAATACTGGATCAGCAATGATCTTATTGAATGGAACAGCGGTGTTGAGCACCAAATAGCCTACTTGTATTCCTATGGTCTGTACGTATGAAAATGATTTACAAATAATAGCTTGCATGCTGTTGAGACAAAGTTATCCCCTGCAAAGTAATTTTTCAAAGAAATATAAATTACCTCTACTCCGCAAGAATGCAGCCAAGTTATTATCCAAATAAATTCCTTCTTCATTGTCGAGAACATAGCGAAGCATTCCCACAAGTTCACCCTGTGAAGGAAACAGAGGCGCGGATAAGTCAATTCCAACTTTTAAGATCAACAAAATAGAAACAAGGGATGTCATGTTGAGGTTGCACAGGATGTTGGTGAGGCCCTTTTGGAGTACTGTGTGCAGTTCCGGTCACCCTGCTAGAAGGATAATATTGGAGAAGATTTAGAAAAAAATTTACCAGCACGTTGCCAGGACTGGAGGGTTTGAACTACAAGGACAGGCTGGGACTTTTTCCACTGAAGCTTGAGGAGTGACCTTATGGAGGCTTATAAAATCATGAGGTACATAGATAGAGTGAATAATAAAGATCTTTTTCCTAGGGCAGGGGAGTTCAAAGCTAGGGGGCATATTTTAAGGTAACAGGAGAAAGATTTAAAAGGGACCCGAGGGACAACTTCTTCACACAGAGGGTGGTTTGTATGTGGGATGAACGGCCAGAGAAAATGGTAGATTCAGGTACAGTTACAACATTTAAAAGATACTTGGAGAGGTACATGAATAGGAAAGGTTTAGAGAGAAATGGGCCAATTGCAAGCAAGTGGGACTAGTTTAGTTTGAGAAACTTGGTCAGCATGGACTGTTTCCGTGCTGTACGATTCTAAATCTCTGCATAAAGTTTCAGGAAGCAAAGAACAATCTAAATTCAAGAACAGGCCTTAAAAAAAAATTATATATAGATTTGATGTTGTGTGTTGCGTAATGAATATTTAGAATAATGTTATTTCAACAACAGGAGAATAAACAGGCACAAAAACAGAACTTGCTGGAGAAAGTGAATGCTGAATAAACGGGTAGTCTGTTTGCTATGGAAACATTTCCCAGATTCAAAGCACATTATCTACCCCAGCTGAATATTCCTTCCATAAGCACTATCCCATCCTTGCTAAACTCTGGTTCCACAGACACCAGCCACTCTACAGCACTTTGATCTCCAGCTATACAAAACTTTTGATCTTCTCCCTAGTGCCCAGGCCAATAATAATTTGAATAAACATCACCATACTGTGGCAATGCTGTCACCACAGGGATTATAATGGTTCAATGAGAAGACCAAACACCACGTTCAAAGGCGAACAAGTAGCTGGCTTGCCAGTGTCACCCAAATTCGGGGGGTGGGGGTGGGGAGTGGCAGTGGTTGGTGGTGGTGGTATGATGTATCTGCTTTACCTGGGTGTCTATATCAAGAGATTCAAACTCGCACAGGTTTTGCTTGGCCATGGTGTGGAGATGAAGTAAGAGGACTGCCACCTACAAAAAACACAAAAAGAATGATTAGAAGTCTCACTTTCTCATCTCAACTTCAGCTGGCGCACGCTGGTTAGGCAATACTTGCCACATTATTTTGCCAGATCAATCCCATTGTGTTTTCACTAATTTGGTCAATGCCCATCAGTGGCCATACTGCAGAGCTCTCGGCCATATTAATGGCACAGAATACATGTCCCAGCCTTTACCTTGAGGAAATCCAGATACAACAAGCCATTGAGAAATGCAAGCTCTCCTCACACCTGCAGCCCTCTTGTCCAAAAGGCACCGAGAGTCAACAGCTTTTTTTTCTTGGTTTAAGATAATCAAAGACAACTTTGCTCCTTGGAAATGATAGAGTTGCATAGAGTACTATTCTTCTGCTTGAAAAGAATTAAGAACAGCTAAAGACTCTCAAGCCTGTGCCATCAGGGTCACATCTGACCACTTCAGGTAACAAGCAGACACAACCCAGACCAGCTCACCTTCGCCATTTCAAGCTCCACATCCTCTGTATGCAAGATCTTCTGCCAGGAGACCACATTTCCAGCAGCAGGGTGAGACCTGCGCAGCTCTGCAGTTAAGGAACAGGAACGTGGATGTTACTGTTCAGAGTTACAATGGTTAAAAGTACAGATGAAAATCATTAACATTCTTTGGTGCTATCAGTGAAAATTTGTAAATCATAAAGCAATTGAATTTGCAACTTATTGTCACCTGTGTAAGCTTCTAAGATTTCTGAGCTTCCCTAATTCGCGTCCCTTGTGTCCCTGATTTCCACGGTTCCACTATTGAGGTCCAATGCTCTGGTATTCCTTCCCTATCAACTGCCTCTCTCGACCACTGTCTCCTTCTCCAAGTCATATCTTAAAATCGCCCAAGTGCACAGGTTTATGGTCATTTCCCCCTCTAATATTGCTTTGTTCCAGGGATGAGGGATTTCAGTTACAAAGATAGATTAGAGAAGTTAAGAGAGCTCTCCTTGCAGAAAAGAAGGCTAACCAGTGATTTCATTGAGGTATTTAAGATCGTGAGGGATGTAGACAGAAGAAAGAGAGAGAAACTGTTTCCACTTGTAAAGGGACCAAAAATGAGAGGACAAAGATTTAAAATGATTGGCAAAAGGTGCAAATGCAACACGAGGAAAAATTTAATCAAGCAGAAAGTGGTTAGGGTCTTGAATTTTTCTTTAATTCATTAACAGGATGAGGGAGTCACTGGCTAAGCAGCATTTATTGCCCATCCCTAATTGCCCAGAGGGCAGTTAAGAGTCAACCACATTGCTGTGGGTCTGGAGTCACATGTAGGCCAGACCAGGTAAGGATGGCAGTTTCCTTCCCTAAAGCACATTAGTGAACCAGATGGGTTTTCCCAACAATCAACAATGGACTGATGGTCATTAGATTCTTAATTCCAGATATTTTATTGAATTCAAATTCCACCATCTGCCATGGCAGGATTCGAACCCGGGTCCCCAGAACGTTATCTGGGTCTCTGGATTAACAGTCCAGCGATGATACCACTAGGCCATTGCCTCCCCAATTTACTCTGGCAACATTAACAGGAGGGGAATGTGCTGCTTAAAAGAGTGGTGAAGGCAGGTTCAGCTGAAACATTCAAAATTACCTGAAAGGAAGTTATGAAGGGTTGTGGGGAGAAGGCAAGACAATGGCACTGAGTAAAATGCTAATTCAGACAGCCAATGCAGACACAATGGGCTTTTTTGAAAAATGGATGTTTTGAAGAAGTGGAAAAAGAGGATTGATGAAGGCAGAGCAGTGGATGTGATCTATATGGACTTCAGTAAGGTGTTCGACAAGGTTCCTCATGGTAGACTGGCTAGCAAAGTTGGATCACATGGAACACAGGAAGAACTAGCTATTTGAAAAAAGAACTGACTCAAAAGGTAGAAGACGGAGGGTGGTGGTGGAAGATTGCTATCCAGACTGAAGGCCTGTGACCAACAGTGTGCCACAAGGATTGGTGCTGGGTCATTTATGTAAATGATTTGGACGTGAATATCGAAGGTATGGTTAATAAGTTTGCAGATGACACCAAAATTGGAGGTATAGTGGACAGCAAAGAAGGTTACCTCAGAGTACAACAGTATCCTGATCAGATTGGCCAATAGGATGAGGACTGGCAGATGGAGTTTAATTTAAATATACGTGAGGTGCTGCATTTTGGAAAGGCAAATCAGGGCAGGACATATACTGGTAAGGACCTGGGTTGTGCTGCTGAACAAAGAGACCTTGGCGTGCAGGTTCATAGCTCCTTGAAAGTGAGTCGCAGGTACAGAGGATAGTGAAGAAGGCGTTTGGTATAATTGCCTTTATTGGTCAATGCACTGAGTACTGGAGTTGGAAAATCATGTTGTGGCTGTACAGGACATTGGTGAGGCCACCTTTGGAATACTGCGTGTAATTCTGGTCTCCTACTATAGGAAGGATGATGTGAAACTTGAAAGGGTTCAGAAAAGACTTACAAGGATGTTGCTAGGAGTGGAGGGTTTGAGCTATAGGGAGAGACTGAATAGGCTGGGGCTATTTTCCCTGGAGCATTGGGGGCTGAAGGAGGTTTATAAAATCATTAGCGGTATAAATAGGGTAAATAGACAAGGCCTTTTCCGCAGGGTGGGGGAATCCAAAACTAGAGGGCATAAGTTTAACGTGAGAGGGGAAAGATTTAAAAGGGACCTACGGGGCAACTTTTTCATGCAGAAGGTGGTGCATGTATGGAATAAGCTGCCGGAGGAAGTGGTGGAGGTTGGTACAATTACAAAATTTAAAAGGCATCTGGATGGTCATATATCTAGGACAGGATTAGAGGGATATAGGCCAAATGCTGGTAAATGGGACTAGATTAATTTAGGATATCTGGTCAGCATGGCTGAGTTGGACCGAAGGATGTGTTTCCATGCTATATATCTCCATGACTCTATGAATAGCCTCCCTGTGTGATTCATTAGATTTATGACTTGATGCCAAATTCAATCCTCGTCTGATTATGTTTTTGTTGTTCTACTAAAACAGAACCCAGAACCAAGTTCCCCTCAAGGTAATTACAGATGAGGAAGGTTTTCACTCAATCTTAAGTTGGTGATGTAAAGTGACCTTGCCATTTCCCTCCAATGCTGTATATAATCTTTCGCATAAATTATCCCAGGATGTCACCTTCACAATCTTATCTGAAGTTCATTTCATGTAGTGATCACTGCCCATGAAACATTCCGTAAATTTCACCTGTTTTAATAATGTCTAATTATACTACATGCACAGAACAATAATTCAGGTTCACTTCCCCTATTTCTTTATATATACTTTGAGAAGGATGATAACAGAACTGATAGATCATGCCCATCAGGAAAGGCTGAACAGTCTGTGGCTCTAACTCTCTATAATTGAAGGCTGATGGGTGACACTGATATAGAGGTCTTCAAGATTATGAAAGGTTTTCAAAGGGTACGATAAAAGAGAAGCTCCCATTATGGAAGACACCAAAATACAAGTAAGTTACAAATAAACCCAGAGATATTTCTTTACACAGGGTGTTGAGAACATGTAAGTTGAGTAAATAGTATAGAAACAATTATTTGGCAGTATGGAACTTGAGCACTGTTGGGGAAAAAAGACACTTCGTCAAATATTTTTGCTTTGCACTCATCTGAACACTTGCAAGAAATACCAATGTAAAGGGGGAACAACATTTTACACTATAGAAGGGATTGCTGATTGTTGAAGTGGGCTCCACTTACCACAGAAGTAAGTATTTTTTTCAGCAATACAAAATCAGTTAGATCTATTTAGGGGGAGCTAGATGAGCACATAAGCGAGAGAGGAATGGGAGAACGTGCTGATAGGCTGAGCTGAAATTGGTAAGAGGTTTGTGTGCAGCACAAACACCAACACTGATCAGGTAGCCTGACTCATCCATTTTTGTGCTATAGGATCTAAACAAGATCATGATTCTCTCTCTTGGATGATTTCCTGCAATGAGTTACTATCATCTTGTTTCTGCTGACTTATTACTGAGGTGTAATCTGATCAGATTTCTACAGATGTGTATCAAGCCTTCCAGGACCTTTACTCAAATGTTGCAGCTGAGGACTCTTCTAGACTTTCCTTGTCTCTTTCATCATCCACATCTGCTCCAGGAGATCAATTTACTCTGGTGACATTAACTGGACGGTGAATGGGTGTGTAAGCATGGATTCAGGATCATGGAGGGAGATGAGAAGATACCTTAGAAGAATTCCATGCTTTTCAGAGAGTGGGAGGCCTGCAATTTCACACACCACCAAATCAATTAGACCTGACATTTTTCACTTTGACTGTGGAATGTTTTTGGTTTGTATTCTCATTCCAGGCATCTTTGGCACAAACAGCATTATTGCTTGGTCACAGATGGTCCAACGTATTAGCACATGTTCTTGTTAATTAGAGACTAATCATTAGAAATGTACGCAAGTGGTGGGCAAACACTGGTTGATTCACTTGTGCTCTTGTATAAAGAAGCAGACTGAAATCCCAAAACCAGTCCAGCTCGTCCCTGCCTCCCTAACCTGTTCTTCCTCCCACCTATCCCCTCCTCCCACCTCAAGCCGCACCTCCATCTCCTACC